TAATGAACATCAGTGGACTAATCCAGGGTTAGTCAAAGTTTTATCACACACCTTTCTGATGCAAACCTCGTATGGTGTCTGGTACAGGTAGAACAGGAAAGCCTTTGTCTGTTCTGCTGTACATCTTATTCTCAGATGTTCTTGCTGAAATATCCCAACTTCTGAAACATCAAATGTCCCTGATCTTGAAATTTTCAAAGCTCCAAAACATTTTGGCTGACAAAAGACTGCCAGCTAGATTCATGTTCCAGCTGCAGCTCTGAGCTGGATGAAACCCAGTGGACAAGTTATCCATATTCTTATCTGTTACTAAGACAGCTAAAGCAACATCAACACCAGCATTGTAGGGCAGCATCTTTTACAATTTTCTCTGGGGTTTGATATTTTTCTCTGTGGTTTCTGATTTGGTTCTAGTTGAAAATTGAATCAAAAGATTTTTAAGTTTTGATTTGTGAAATTCAAGTGAAGACATTAATTTGGCCTTCATCTCAATTATACAGAGACTATAAAAGAATATTTTTTGTACATTTCAAAAATGCTTAGTGTCTACCAAAATGAAGGAGATGTAATGAGATGCTATGTAAATTTCAGTAACTGTTGTCATGGCAGTAGTTGCAATTGTGAGCATGTGTGTGGTGTTGCTGTTGTATCCATGGCCTTTTTATTTGTTCATGATACCATCTTAACAAATCAGAAAATAACTGTTTGGAGCTTTTGGATTTCAGAATAGCTTGTGCTTATGAGTGTTGTGCTCCATGTTATACACAAACACTCAATTTTATGTTTTACTGAAACACTTAAATGTATATCTCTGCATAATTTGTTGAATTATATATTGTTGGAAGTATGGAAATATATTTGGAAAAATGTCAAGAAATATATATATATATATATATATATATATATATGACTAAAAAGATGATTTTGTATTATTCAACATGAAATAACTTTTGTAATCATCACATGTACACCAAAATTAATAACAGGAAATCTATATAATGGGATGCTAAAAAGTTCTGGGCCTAACAAAGAAGCTCTCCAAGAAAGAGAAGAAAAAAAAAATAGTGTTTGGTCAAATTTTGCCAAGAACTTTTCAGCACTCCTTATATACCTACCTATCTATTTATAAAACTCTCATGCATTAATCGGTATTATATTAAGCAGATTAATTACATGCCTATATCATCCAAAACAGAAAATACTTTTTCCTGTTTAATGCTTGTTGTTTTTCCTACATAATGTTTTTTTAAAATTTTTTTTTTCCTCTTCAATGTTTTTTTTTAAGGTTAAGAAAAAAAACAAAGTATATATTGTGAAGTGTTGAGATCCACACTTGTACCGTGATGACATCAACACATATCACACCTTTCATCACGGGTTTACGTACCCGGAATGATGAAGCTCGACTGACTACAGCCTATGAACTCTACCGCTATGTCAATACAGATGTTCCTGAGATGCCACTTGATGATCAGAATGCATTCATTGATGAAATCAATCACAATGTATTTGAAATGGTATCCAGTAGTGAAGTTCATGAAAAAAAGGGAGGAATTTTGGCTATTGGTAAGTTCTATTTGTGATTTTTTTTTTTTTTTTTTTCTCTTGTTCTTTAAAAGATTTTTTTCTTTCTTTTATTATGACTGTGTGGCTAAATTAGGTTCTTTAGGTGAATATGCTTCCACATCTAAGTATTTACATTTTTTCTTTAATATTTTTTTAAGATTGTTATTACAAACAAATGCAGTTATTTTTTTTTTTTTTTTTTTTTTTTTTGTTAGAATATCCTGTCAGGTTTACTATTATACAAAGAACTAGTTATATGTTAAGTTATAAAATATCATGTAGACTAGAAAAGGATTTAAATTACACTAATGAATATATTTTAGTGTTTAGTTTTAATTTTTCATTGTGTTCAACTATAAAACCAGGTATGATTTTAGTGTGAATTAATCTATTGCTTCTCTTGGCATATTATAAATTAGTTAATTATTCTATAGTAACTTAATGAGGTTATTAAATTTACAAAAATTTGAGTATAGCTTAATTGTGACATGAATATACTTTATTATAAATTATACAGATTTGAACAAATGATAACAAAATATGATCTCGCTTTAGATTTAGCCATAGAAATATTTTATGCTTCCTTTAATTTATGAAAGAACATATAAAATTTTTTTTTTTTTTTTTTTTACCCCAGCTTGGTGCAAAACAGCATGGTAGAGATGTGCGGTTTAACCAAAAAAACGACTTTTTTTCAGTTTCATCTTCACACCATGAAACCACATTGAAATTTTTTACGAAACCAAAATCGTTCAGTTTAGTGCTGTCCCTACTTTGTGACCATATCCAAAGAAACACTATTGAAAAAGACTTTCAGATGTTAATAAAATTAACTATTTTATACCATTTGTAGGAGAAATAGATTGAACAAAAACATGTTAAAAATATTTAATTGACTAGTTTTAGGAAATAAATATGAAATCTATTTGTTTACGAAAGAAATGAAGAAGAAAAAAAAAAAGGAAATACAACATGTCTGAAATCTATTTGTTTCAGTTTAAAAAAACCCCAAAAAAACAAACTTTTTTATAAGGCAAGCAAGGGTAATTGCTTTCTAGTAAGCCAGTGTTACACCAATCATGAAATAAAGTTGTTGTAAATGAAGAAAAATGAATGAAGATTTTTTTTATGAATAAATTTGTTTTTTATCTAGGGGATACACCTAAATTAGATTTTAAGAATAATTAAAATATTTCACTTTTAAAATGTGTATATTTCCAGTTGTGTGAGTCTGTTTTTTACAAATAAAATTGTTTCTATTTAGTGAATTTACACCTAAAATTAGATATAAATAAAATAAAGAAAGTTTTAATCTCAGTTTTAAAATGTGTATATTTTCAAAACTGCAAGTCATTTTTTTTTTTTTTTTTTTTTTTTTTAAACCCAAAGTAAAAATTATTCTTTTTTAGCCACTAGTGTTCGGTGGGTGTTTGTTACTGTTCTGCCTATAAAATTCTTCTAAACAAGGAAAATTAATTAATTTTATTTTTTACAAATATCTTTATGGTTTTATCTGGTGAATAATACACCTAAGTATTTTAAAATGATAAAAATAGTTTTTAATTTCAGTTTTAAAATGTGTATCTAAAAAAGAACAGGTGATACTCACAGATTTGAAAATCTACACATTCTAAAAATGAAATTAAAAGCTTTTAATTATTTTTAATATTTAATTTTATATGTATTTGCTAGATAAAAACATAAATTTATTTAGGTGTAAAAATAACTCCTTGATTTTCCTTGTTTAGAAGAAATTTATTGGCAAAACCCCAATAATAGTTGACTGGTGTACTAAAAAGAATTGCTCTTTTTTTTTTTTTTTTTAATTTTTTTTTTATTTTCCTTACTTAACTTATGAAGGAATTCACTTCCAAGGGTCAGAGAAGAAACGAACATCTTTCTGATTGTAGTTTAAGGTGTCTTCTAGTCAAGTGTAAAATTTTGTCTTTAAAAAAAAAAATCATAATTCAATGTATAAAAGCACATACAAGTTGCATATTTAGAGAGATCATTTTATTTTCTTTCCAGCCATGTGAATATTTTTAAGATCGGACCATAAATACACAAGATATTGCAAATTTATCAATCTCAAACAAAATCAGATCTTGACTGGAAATGTTATCATTACACAAGAAAATGAATGACTTCCTTAGAAAGCAAAAATAGTAAATTAAAAACTGAATCGAAAACTGCTATATCAAGGAATAAAAAAAACTGATACTGAAACAAATTGCCAAACTGACCAACTCTACAGCATGTTATGGATGTATGATTAAAAACAAGTTAAGGAGTTAAGGAATGTGTTCATGCTATATTCATTTTTTTTTTTTTGTAGGATCATCAAATCTGGCTGACTATAAGCTATTATTTTTCAAAGAGAGAATTCCTTGAAGTAGGAACATTCATATTCTTTATTCCTATAGATTTGGCATTTGATATATGAACATTGGAATTGTAAATAAATAATTGAAGGCAATAGTTATGCAAAGTCTGGTGATTGTCAAACTACTGCTACTGATGATGACTATATTACTAATTTTTTTAATTTAGCATGATTTGATGAAAAAAAAAAATAACCTGTCAGTATAATTACTGATCCTTCAATAAGCCATACAGTTGTAACAAAAAAAAAAAAAAAACTTATAAAAATTAATATTTTCCTTTTATTTATATAAATAAATGTGACTTTGTTTTATTATAGTGTGAGCTTCATGATGTGGAAATGTCAGTGGCTAACCTACTGGAAAATCTTGATTTTTTTTTGTTAAAGGATAATAGAATTGCATTCAATATAAAATAAAAAAAATTGTAATTATTTTTAATTGTTCAGTATATAGAGAAAAATAACTTGCACAAGATGAAATTATAAATATGCTTTAAGAAACAAAATTAACAAAAATTTAATGAAATAATACTTTTTAATTTCATATTTACAGAATTTAAAAAATTTATTGGTATAATCATTTTTATAAATCTCTCTAAGTCTATAGTATTTCTATAATCTGACTTTTGACAAGTGTAATTTAAGAAATTGTTTAATTCAAGTTAATTGAAAAAAGTTGGGATTGTGTTAAGTGATTTAACTATTTGTGTGATATGTGCATAAAATTAAAATGTACAATGGTGTATTAAAAGAATGTTTGAATGGCTTACTGAGCATTTGAGACAAAATAGTTACCATGTATTATCCTCTTGTACTTATATATAATATATATTTATTTATTTTCATGAAGATACTTCAAATTGAACCTATTAAGTCTGAATTGGAAGAAATTTTTGGAGTTAGGATTGCCAAAATACACCAGTTTTAACCTAATAACAAATTAGGTAAAGAATAATGTTGCAAAATTTGGTCTCATCAATTATCATTTTCATACATAGATTTATTGTTCATTTAGGCAACTGAAAAATAGGAGTCTGTTGAAAATATGCAGTGTGGTGCATAAGATCAACTGAATTTTCAGTTTGTGAAGTGAGCATATGTTTATTTTGTTATAGCTGTGTTTGGAATTGATATGTTTTACTAGTTTGAGAAATGTTTTCTCGATATCAGCATTATTTTTATTTTTCTAAATGCTGCAAAATAAGTGTCACTGAAAATAAAACCCATTTATAAAATATAGAACAATCTTAATTTTGCTAAACATTGAGAGAAATTAAACTTTTATATAGATAAATTTAGGAAGGTTCCTCTTAAATCATTGGTCATACCTATGCAATTTTACATAGGTGAACAAATAAATATTGAAAATGGCCTTTCACTTTTTGTTCTTTTAATTGATAGCTTGTGTTACATGAATTTAGCTATCTTTTGTCTAACAAGTTATCAGCCATGCTATGTGGTAAACATTTGAGCATTCAAAGAGTGTTTACCAACCTTTTCGCAAGTTCAGTCTATTGTGGAGAGAAAAGATCAGAAGAAAGAAGGACTTAATGATGGGAAATGTTAGAGCTGTCAGAAGAGCAGTCAGTAACTCTTTGACATCATGTGTAAGGATTGAAGATTCTCTACAACATGTCTTATAAAACTCCAAAAGCAACAATGATTGAATTGGGCAAAAGAAAACCTGACATGAAAGGAAGAATGAAAGTCAGATGAAAAGATGTTCAATTTGGATGGTCCTGATGGACTTGTATCCTAATAGCATGATTTTTGCAAAGAGGACCTGGTGTTCTCTCACCATGTTCAAGATGGAAGCGTTATGATTTGGGCAGCTTTTGGACCACTTGTAAAATACCAACAGTGTTATCAACACTTGGCTTAATGCTGCAAGATATCAAAATCTTTTATCTGGTACTTTGCTTCATTGTGTTAAAGAAATTGCTGGTTCCAATTGGAAATTTAAACAAGACAATGCTCCTATCCATTGGTCACAAAGCACAACATATTGATTCCAGATCCACAACATTTATGTATGCATTAGCTAGCACATTTTCTTGATCTCAGTCCAAATACAGACCTGTGGATCATTTGTGTAGACTAGTAGAGACTTTGCCAGCATGCATTTTTTTGGATTATTTATGATTAGGGAATTGTTACAAAAAATAAGTTTTATTGGCATTCAGTTACTTCACAACAGTATCTTTTTTGAAAAAGCTTTTTTTTTCAAAACATTTGCTTGCAGAAAAATCTCCCAGCATATAGTGCCAAGTCAGCTAAAATCAACAGCTAGTCTAAATATGCACCATACTGTATGAAGCAAAGAAAATTTAGTGCCTATTTTATTTTCAGTTCTGTTAGTATTTCTTAGTAAAATATATTAAAATATTTGCTTTTTTTGAGCTAGACTGTTTTTGATCTGGTTAGATTTGGTGTGCAAGTTCTATTCAGAAAAGTTATTCTTGCAAATGATTGAAAATATTGCAGAAATGTATATTAGAACATATTTTTTCTGCATTGGCTAAAAGTATTTAAACCATTAATGCCTACCATAAAATCCAGCATTAATATTAGCTTTATCAAAAATTGGTTGTAAAAACTTGCCTATTAGTTTTAGCTTTATCAAAAATTGGTTATTAGTTAGATGTTTCTACTTATAATCCATTAATGCTTACCACTGTTTTGGGGATGGTGTCTATTAATGGGTTAAAAAAATAATAGAATTTAAAACAAAAAAATACATTTATTAAAGAAATGAAGCTTGAAAATTATTTTAGTACATAATGTTGACAATGAACTAATTAAATTCTATTGATTGAGGTTGTAGCTTGCTATGAACAGTTTTTGTTAATTCTTAAAAACTCATTTAATTCATTCTTTGTCATTAATGTGTGTTTTCCATTTTAGCCACTTTGGTTGGTGTGGATATTGGTAATGCTGCAACTCGAATCAGTCGATTTGCTAACTACCTGCGTAACCTTGTTCCAGCCAGTGATGTTGTGTTAATGGAAATGACTGCCAAAGGTATGGGCATCTTAGCTTTGTCTGCTGGCAATCATGCTGCTGAATATGTGGATTTTGAGACTAAACGAGCATTGGAATGGTTAGCTGGAGAAAGACATGAAGGCCAGCGCTACTCAGCTGTAAGAAAACAATTTACTGTCTTAAGTTGCATATTGTGTGCAATTATTGCTTTTTATTTATGATTAGTGGTATTTAAATATTTAAATGAATTTTTTATTAAATATTGTTTTATATTCAGAATACAATTATTTTTTCATGTCTATAGATTAAATAAAAAAAAAAATCAAACTCATAAGTAGATTAGTCTTAGTACAGTTTTGGTGAGAATGTTTTGGTGACTTGTTTGAATTACACTATGAAATGACCATTCAAGTTAATTTTGCAATTTTATGAATAAAACTAAGGTAATAATAATTGGACATTTTTTCACTAAAAATAAAATAAAAAGCTTCCTTAATGGAGGCTGTATGCATTTCATCATTCTGATTTGACAAGTGATCTTTATAATGTAAATTAATGAAGTAAGAAGAAAAATGGCACCTAATTGTTGGATTCTGCAACAACTGAACATTTTAACAAATTCTGGTATCATTAGATTACCATAGAATTATATCATTTTATTTATTTATTTTTTTACTCCATTTTTACTCCAGAACATCTAGAATATAATTATATTAAACATTTAAACAGAATGAACAAATGATTAGGTCACTTTTGAAATTGATCTTCTTTGGCAGGGTTAGAATTAAAAAGAACATTAATGAAATCTTCTAAAAATAATTAGTTTGATATTTTACAAGCATTGGATACTGTAATACAAATCTGCTCTTCCTTTGAATTTACATAGTAGATAAATTATATTTGTGGGTATGTATTAGTAAAATGAAAATAATTAAATGTTAAATACTTTACTTTTTACTGAGGTGATAATGAATAATTATTAAATGAATATTACTTAATTTTATCTTTGTTTTTTTTAATTATATAGTCATAATTTTTTTTTTAAGTAATTTGCAATTCAACTTGATTACTAAAGGTTACAAGTTTTGTGTAAATAATTGTAGATCATAGCAGAAAAACAGGGTTAATTTTTTTTTTTATTCTTTATATATGTGCAATACTACTCTGATATTTTGATTGAAGTAGGCATCTCTTTATCTTGTAAAATAAAGGTAGCACCCAGTTTAGTCAAAATTCAGTCCTTTCGTAGTGAAACTGAAGTGACCTCTCCAGGGCCCAGGCCTGGGTGATGGTATATGGAGGCTGTGTGCTGCCCATACTACATGACCCTCCTTTCGTACTGACAAGATCCAAAGGAATACAGGGCATTACATTTGGATAGCACTTGGCTTCAGGAATTGCCGAAAGGTTGTCAGTGTTGACAACCAACTACTTTTGAGGCTCCACTCCGGGCTTTCTGTTTGGATTTACTTCCATAGCATTTTTTTTTTTTTTTTTTTTGTTTGTTTGGACACACAAAACAGTGGAAGTTTAAAATTGGGGTTTTCCTTTCCCTAAATGGACTGCCTTCTTGGGCTGTTGAGCTCGATCTACCAAAAATCTGCTGGTTATGAGGCAGTATTTCTCCACTTTCAAACATTCTGTGACTTAGAACTGGACTTAGTTGCTAGAGGCTATTTCAGACGCATACCACAGAAACATTTTTATAGACAGTAGAAGCTTGTCTCCACTATCAACCCCAGCTATGACAACCTTTGGAACATATATAGACATTATATACATTGTGTTTTAGAAGCTCCAAAAAAAATTAATAGTTTTTTTTAAACATATAAAATGTTCGATAAACAAAAACACTAGAAAGCAAGACAAATTATGAAATAGTGCATAAACCAACATAAATATCAAAAAGTTTGTTAATTCTAGAAAAATATTGCAGAAGCAAAAAAAAAAAAAAAATTAAAAATATAAATATTCTGACATTATGAAGTAATTGACATGCAATAAAATAATTTATAGTGCTTTTTTTAACAGTACTAACACAAACTATCAATTGATAAAAAATGAATGGGAGTTGAAAATGCAAACTTTATAAATACAACTTTAGGTAAGCAAAAACAGTAAAAGTAAGACAAACGATTTTCTGGTTAGTTGTAAAAAAAAAATATTAATGCAGAACAATCTGGTAACTGGAAAAAGTTGAAAGAAATAATAATAAACAATTTATATAAAACTTCAAATAAATATAATAATCATAATATGCATAATAAATAAAATAAATAATAATTGCAAATTATATTAGTTTACTTATGATATTTACATTTTTCAATTAAATTTCAGATTCGTTAAGTTTTTGGAGTTTTGGCAAAACTCATCACTTTCCTTGAGTTCAGAATGCCAATTTTGATTAGTATTTGAGATATATCATGAAAAGTTATTAACTTTGTATCCTGTTCATTTGTGCTTAGGCAAAACTATAGGATAGTGTTAACAGGAAATCTAGCACTGGATTTATAAATTCATATCCCTTTTTGTACAATTACTGAACAATATTCAAAATTAGAAAATCTGTATTACAAGTAATAATAGCCTTTTATTTTTATTGTGAAACCTTACAGAAATTTCTTTTCTGTAAAGTAAATATTTACTGTATTAAGAGTTTGTTTGCACAATAAATAAAATTATATATAGAATTTAAAAAAGAAAATAGTGAAATGGATTGCATAAAATAGTTTGGTATATCTGTTCTCATTCTGTCAGACAAATGAAAATAGGAGAAAAGGAAAAGATGAAATACTAAGTTTTGATATGAGTATATATTAGCAAATAACTTCATATCTGCAACAGGTGTTTTTGAGCTCATACATGATCTTGCATTTAATGTTTTACCATCTTTTAAATGGCAAAATCTCCATTTTGCTTCATTTTTCTAATTTAAAAAACTTAAAACAATCATTTTGTATAAATGTTAATGTGTATTTTCATGAATTATTTTGTAGTTACTTAATGTTTCAATTAAATATTTTATAATTCCATAGTAAAAATTTAGGAAGAAAAATATTGCTCATAAAATATATTTTATTTTTGTATTGTTTATCTGCCTCTTCCAGGTTCTAATTCTTAAAGAATTAGCTACCTTCACACCAACGTTCTTCTTCCAACAAGTTCCTCAATTTTTTGAAAATATCTTTAATGCAGTTCGTGATCCCAAGGTAAATATTAACTGCTATTATCATATAATTTTCTAGGTTTCTTTTCAAATACTTTTTCATGCTTGATTTAAAAGTTTATACATTTATATATTTCTGAAATGTTTTGTTATATATAAATTTTAAAACAAGCTTGAACAGATAGACCTAATTTTCTGCTTAACAAAATGAAATTCATTTTTTCCTTCATAAAATTAATATAGAGCTAAAACTGATTTGAGGAAGCATAAATTGACTTATTGTTATTCTCCACAGATAAGAACACTGTTCTGGTTTTCTTTTCTTAGATTTAAATTTCTTTAATTTTCTATAAATAACAAGGAAAATTTTAATTAGATTTGGGTATGATTTTAAAAATAAATGGAAAAGATATAACATTCAGAGAAATATACAGTGTATGGCTATAAGGCCAGGTTAAAATAAAAATAATAAAACTAACTTATCAAGCTGTTAGATTTATATATAACAAAACATTTCAGACCTTAAACACTGACTGATGCAGCCTAAAAATGATAAAATTATTTCTTTTTTAAATACTGAAAATCTCTTGCAATGTAATTCTAGTTTTGTAATAATGGAAATAAGACATGAATTAAATGTCATTAATTAAAAAATACTGGAAGCCTTTTTTTTTTCTTTTCTTTTTTTTTTCTTTTTTCTTTTTTTCTTTTTTTTTTCTTTTTTCTTTTTTCTTTTTTTTTTTTTTTTTTTTTCTTTTTTTTTTTTTTTTTTTTTTTTTTTTTTTTTTTTTTTTTTTTTCCTTTTTTTTCTTTTTTCTTTTTTTTCTTTCTTCTTTTTTTCTTTTTTTCTTTTTTTTTTTTTTTTTTCTTTTTTTTTTCTTTTTTTTTTTTTTTTTTTTTTTTTTTTTTTTTTTTTTTTTTTTTTTTTTTTTTTTTTTTTTTTTTTCTTTTTTTTTTTTTTTCTTTTTTTTTTTTTTTTTTTTTTTTTTTTTTTGCTTTTTTTTTCTTTTTTTTTCTTTTTTCTGCTTTTTTTTTCTTTTTTTTTCTTTTTTCTGCTTTTTTTTTCTTTTTTTCTTTTTTTTTTCTTTTTTTTTTTTCTTACTATACTGATGTTATGATTGTGACAAAATTGTTTTTCTCTTACCAAAGAAACTAGCCTAAAACTGAACAGTATAACTTTTCTTTATATTTTAATAACTTCATTACAAATTAACTATTGTTAAAATGAATATTTAGGAACTATTTAGTTGAATTTACTTGAATTTGAAATATATTTAATTTTTTTTGATCAGGATTTAGGGATAGAATGGCAAGGCATTTTACTACAAACATACAACATACTGTTTAATTCTCTGTGTGGAAAATTATTTATTTTTCTATGTTATGAATTCAATTTGAATTGTGTGTTCTTGTAGCCTGCAATTCGAGAAGCATCAGTTGCTGCTTTGAGAGCAACTCTGGCAGTTACATCTCAGCGAGAGACCAAACGAGATCACAGTGAGGATTGGTACAAGGTGAGTTTTGTATACATAAACATTTTTATCAATGTTTAGAAATGTACCAATAATCCACATATATAAAATGCATTGTGTATGTAATTGTGTAACACATGTACAGAGCATGCAGGTACTACCCTCTGATCTTAAGCAAAAATGTAAATCCATACATAAATAATCCTGTCATTTTTTTTTTTATATGTACTTTATTAGTTTCAAAATAATTTTTGACTCTAGTGATAATCAACCCACGAATTTCCAAATAATAATTTTTTTTTTTTTTTGTATAAACATTTGCATATCAACTGCATTCTATAATTTCATGTTTACATTTTGATTTTACTTAGCATTGTTTGGAGGAGGCATTACGTCCTTACAGTGATGCTTTGGGCAAGGAGAAAAGAATTAACAAAGAAGATTGGATACATGGATCATTGTTGATTATCAATGAATTGCTACGATGTAGCAATATGGAAGGAGAAGTAAGTTCTTTCAAAATTTTATTTTTTCTTGTTTTTATTTAGGAATATTAATCATAGCAGGTTTTTAATGATGTTCTTCTTCAGTTTTTGTTAATGAGTCTTTATTTTTATGGATGCAAGTTTATAAGTTTTCGTTATTTTTGTAATCATGTTTGCATATAACATCTAAATAAAGTTACTTTGTTAAATTTGAATCTGCAAAATTTTAGTTGTTCAAATTATTATTAAAAAGGAATTTTAGTTTAAAAGAGTTTTATTTATACTTTTGCTTTTATGTTCTATTTAAAATATTATGATTGTATTTAATTTAAAAACCCAGTGACTAATTTTACTGTGGATATGATAAAAAAAATATCTAAATTAATAATTATACAATAACCAAAAAGAAAAGTAGATAAATCTAAATTTATAAATACATTGTATATAAAATGTATAGTTAAACTTTTTTTTATTTTTTTTTATTGGTGTACATGTATTATGTTTTTTCATAGTTTCTATTACTCTGGTAACTAAATATATTTTATTTCAAATTTATTTGTTCATTTTTGCCTGTAGCTAATCACTTAAATTAGATTTCAGTAAGTAAAAAAAAAAAAATGTTCAGTTTTTACTTATAAATGTTATGGCATTATTTTTATCTCCTATTGGTTAGTACACAAGTACATGATTATAGTGCAAATATTTTTACATCACATTTTTTAACTCTGACAGGCTATAGATGATATTTATTTTATTTATACTTTGTATACTTATAAATTCAGTGTTAAAACTATTTTAGCATATCATTATTGTATTCTATATCAAATGATTTAAAATGAAATTTTAGAATTGGTAGACATCAAATGAAAGAATGATTTTGTTTTTAATGATTTTATTGTTTTCAAATGTGTAAAGATTTGTTAATGTATCTGTGGGGGGGAAAATGATCTTTTTTTTTTTATTTATTTTTCTCAGCGTCTTAGAGTAGAGATGGAAGAACTGGCTATTCAACAGAATACTTTTGAGAAAGCTGTGAAAGTAAGTTGTTTAGAGTAATCCCATTAGAAAATATTCACTAAATATTTAATCACTTCTGAATATTTTAAATTTGTAATAAATTTAACAGGTATCCTGCAACTCCTAAGATATATTTGTTAACTGTTCATAGATATTGGTATTTTAATATTAATGCATAAAGATGGATGGTATTTACTTGGTCATAGGATATGCAATACTTGACAAACTATTTTCTTTATTGTAATTTAAATTTTGAAAATTAAAAAATATTTTGTGATAAATTGATAGAAATTAATTCATTACACAATTTTCAAAACAATTACTTGTGCTCTTCTGAAGATATATTATTTCTTTTTTGGTACATTTTAAAGTTTGGTTTACAATCCTTTGGTAACCATTTTTACACACCTTCAAAGTAAAATGAAATAAAAGTTGTGTACTTATTTGTCCAATTATCAATTTGTCATTTGTATCTGCAGCCTACCTTTATGTATTTATGTTTATATACATTGTTTTTACAAAAAAATACAATTATTTCGTGAAGTGAATTTTAATAAATGCATTACATTTAAACAAAATATGTAATTTGATTGGGGGGTTGTTTTATATAGTGATTTACTAAGTGCAGTTTAGATGTGGCACAAGGTCAAGATTAACAAGCACCAATTGATGATTGAAGCCACTACTAAATCACAACTGATCAATTTAGGCAAACTTGCTAACCATTATGCTATGTTGAAGTATTCAAAAAATGTTTCATATATGTAGCAAAGAGTTGAATAGCAACTTGCTTTATCAGCTAGAAAGGAAGTAGCTGGGGTTGTTTGAATTTCTTGTTGGGTGCCATATTGAGGGAAGTGAGAATGTGGCCATAAGTGTCATGGTTGATGTGCATGCTAGCCTTCAGCATATACAAATGACTTCACATTATAAAAATGCTGATATGGAATGAGTTGATATATTATATTTTTCAGTTCAGTACCATGTAATATAAACATGAAAGTGAAGATTAGAAGCTAATGAACATGATTACAAGCCATAAGCTATTTCAGTGAAAAACGATGGAACAGTGAATTTGATAGTTAATCTTGGAGTATGGTGGCTTTGTATCTAGTCAGTTTATAGTTGGATTGGTTGAAAATGCAGAGTTGGTGTGCAGTCTAAAACAGATCAAGTAGGTTCTCCCTTTGTATCTGATAGTGGATGGGAGTGTTTGCCATCTATTAACAACTGGACACACAAGAGAAATCTGATGTAAATCAGATAAAGAGTGTTTTATATGTTGCCTTTGCTGTAGAATCATGTGTATGAATTATTGTTGTGTCGGAAACCTACCACCCCTCTTGAAGATGAACTTGTCTGTGAACAAAGACTTTAAATAGTGGCATGTCATTTGACATGGGGGAGACAGATGAACTTCTTAGCTGAGCTAGTTATTGACTACTCAGGTTGGTAAAAAGGTACAGAAATCGCCTATTAAAACCCCTTTTATTGTTACATGTTATTTGGCGTTTGTCTCTACTAACCCCAAATCAACATCATAACAGTGGCGACGAGAGATTCGTTCATCACGCTGAGTGGAGAATTTTTCAACTCTAAGTGGACTATATAAATTTTTTGTTTTTTCTCGCTCTGAAAAAAAAAAAAACAATACGTCGGACTTGGTTCTTCACGAAGAAATGGGATTTCAACGTGCCAAAAAGAAGTAAGACTTGTGCTTATTGTGGATATATACGTGTTTTTCCCTTTTTGTCTGTTTTCGAAAAGTGTGTTTGTAATCTATTACGCATAATGGAAGATTTGATTGCCTTAATGAAAACTCTAGTGCAAAGTCAAATTCAGCAACAAGAGCAACAAAAATTGTTTCGGGAACAACTATTGGATTTACAAGTTCAGCGGCAAAATGACACAAAGGCTTTATATGGAGCGATTTTACTTAAGAATCCAGTAAATTCGTCATTCACGGCTGAAGGTATTGCTAATTCTATTACTGAGTTCAAATTTAACCCAGAGGAGGGCATAACATTTCCTGCGTATTTCAGAAGATTTGAAACAATATTTGAAAAAAAAATGTGAAGGTTGGACTGATGAACAAAAAGTGAGTTTACTTTTACAAAAGTTGGGTACAGATGAAAATAATAAGTATACGAATTTTGTCCTTGCAAGAAAAACTGGTGACATTTCTTTCGAAGAAACTTTTAATACTTCATCTAGTATTTTTGGTGAGCGAGTTAGGTTTGTTTCATATTCGTTTCTCGTGTTTGAATATGGTAAAACGTGACGATGAGGATGTTGTTACGTATTCTGGAAATGTTAACAGAATGTGTGAACGTTTTATGTTACATGATCTTTCAATTGATTGATTTAAATGTTTGATATTCGTTCAAGGCTTGACTTCTAGCAAAGATAAGGACATAAGGTCCCGAATATTGGCAAAACTCGAACAAAATTCTGAGATCACTTTGCAGAAGGTTACAGAAGAGTGTCAAAGAATTGAAAACTTAAAACATGATAATACGCAAATTGAAGAAAAAGACGTATCCTGTGTCCATGCTATTCGACCAAAAACGGGAATAGTTAATAAAAACGTTAAAAAAACCAACGTGCTTTGGATGCGGTGGTGGTCATTTTAAAAGTGAATGGATTTTTGCGACAAAAATTGCTATTCGTGTGGCAATAAAGGCCATATAAGTACTCATTGTAAAAGCAAAAGAAAAAAATTTAAGTCGAAAAAAGATGATGTGAATATTGTGTTGTCACGTCAGGAGATTGAGGAGAGGCAGAAAAAATTCATACAGGTAAAAATTAATGGAAAAAATGTTAAACTACAGCTAGACACTGGAAGTGATATTTCCATTATTAATACAGCAACATGGATTAAAATAGGCAGACCTTTGCTTAAAAAGACTGAAAAAGTGGCTCGCGGGATTTCTGGAAGAAAATTGCATTTTCAAGGTGAATTTTCTTGTAATATTTCATTTGTTGGTAAGACACTAAAGTGTATGTGCTACAAAATGCTTCAAATTTGTTTGGAACAGATTGGATTATACTTTTTAATTTATGGGAAATCCCTATAAATTCTTTTTGCAATAGAATTAATGTTTCTTCATATAAAAATCTGGTTACAGAAAATTTGGTGAAAGATCTGAAAATAAAATTTCCACAAGTATTTTCAGAAGGTCTTGGATGTTGCAAAAAGACGAAGGCAAAATTTGAAGTGAAGGAAAATGTAAAACCTATTTTCAAGCGAAAAAGAAATGTGCCATTTGGTGTTTTGGAACAGATTAACAAAGAATTGGAATGGCTTGAAAATTTAGGAGTTATTTCACGCATTGAATTTTCAGAGGGGCCTTCCTGTTGTATATGTTAAGAAAAGAATAATAAAATTTGGATGTGTGCTGATTTCTCTACGGGTCTAAATGATTGCTTAAAAGACCACACATATCCTTTGCCTTCACCGGAAGACATTTTTGCAAGTTTAAATGAAGGAAAAATATTCTCTAAATTGGATTTATCGGATGCCTATCTCCAAGTGAAAGTGGACGAAGAATGTTCTAAATTGTTGACTATCAATACACACAAGGGTTTATACAAATTAAACCGTCTGCCTTTTGGCTTAAAAGTATCCCCTAGTATTTTTCAGCAAATTATGGACACTGTGCTGGCAGGGTTGGACTTCGCCATTGCATATCTTGATCATATTTTGATAAAAAGTAAAGATCGAAATGAACATTTGGAACATATTAATCAGGTTTTTGAAAAAATTGAAGAATATGGATTCAAACTTGGAGCTGAAAAATGTGAATTTTTTATGGGTGAAATTAAGTTTTTTGGGCAGATAATAGACTCTGATGGAAGAAGACCAGATCTGGCGAGGGCAGAAGCGATCAAAAGCATGCCAACTTCCAAAAATGTAGTAACGCTACAAGTGTTCTTAGGACTTGCTAACTATTATGGGATATATATTCCTAATTTGTGCAGCCTTACGGTTCCATTAAATAAATTGCTTAAAAAGGGAGCAAAGTGGGAATGGTCAGAAGGCGTTTGACAAAATAAAAAATATTTTGACGTCGGAATTATCACTAACACATTATGACCCTAAACAGGAATTTCATCAGGGGCATCCTGGTATTGGACGTATGAAAGCTCTTATGAGGAGTTACATTTATTGGCCAAATATGGACAAAGACATTGAACAGGTAGTTAAAACTTGTAGAGGGTGTCAAATGGTAGCGAAAGCACCGCCAGTAAAATACACACCATAGCCAAAAATAGATGTTCCATGGACCAGACTCCACATAGAATATGCTGGACCCATGAATGGTAATTTCTACTTGATAGTTGTGGATAGCTATTCCAAGTGGCCTGAAATTTTTAAGTGCAAAAGACCAACTGCTGCTGTAACAAAAGATTTTCTTACAGAACTGTTTGCACGTTTTGGAGTACCAGAAAAAATTGTCACCGACAATGGAACTCAATTCACAGGAAGTGAATTTAAAACGTTTTGTAAGACTCTGGGAATTGACCACATCACAACTTCACCGTACCATCCTAGGTCAAATGGACAGGCTGAACGGTTTGTTGATACATTCAAGAGAGCCCTTAAAAAAAACAAATGGTACTAATACAGATGATGGTAATATACAGCAGTTTTTAAGGATATACAGAATAACACCAAATCCAAACGCAATATCAGGGATGTCTCCAGCTGAACTGATGTTTGCTAGAAAAATTAGATCTGTATTCAATAGGCTGCTGCCGGAAAGAAAAAATAGTTACCAGAACAAAATGCATCAGGAAAATATGAAATATCTCAGGCCGGGAGATAGTTTTTTTTAAAAATTACAAAAATGGGAAGGAATTTTGGCAAGATGGAGTGGTAACTCAAAGAATTGGTAAGATGTTATACATGATAAGAAGTAAAAAATGGACGCACAAAAGACATTTGAACCAATTAAGGAAAAGAATCATTGAAGAAATGAGTAAAGAAAATGAAGAACCAATGGAGGTATTATATGATTTATTCGATATACCAACTCCACCATTGCCTGAAACAGTTGTGCAAAGAAGGACAAGCAAAAGAAAAAGAACTAGGGTGGAACGTTTAAGTCCAGATCCCAAAAGGAAAAGGGGGAGGTGTTGTCGGAAACCTACCACCCCTCTTGAAGATGCACTTGTCTGCATCTGTGAACAAAGACTTTAAATAGTGGCATGTCAGTTGACATGGGGGAGACCGATAGACAGAGAAGTTCTTAGCTGAGCTAGTTATTGACTACTCAGGCGATTTCTGTACCTTTTTTACCAACCTATTAAAAATTATTATTGTTACATGTTATTTGGCGTTTGTCTCTACTAACCCCAAATCAACATCATAACAATTATTCATAACATTGTGCCCACCTCCAAGTGATTTTGTGGACGTGTATCTGGCACAAATGCAGAAATTAACATTCCTGTTTGAATGCAGTCTGGCATGCATGTTCATAGCAGGGCTGGTAGGTCACATGAAGCAACTTCTTTGTATCTCTTCCAGGATGAATGCATTAACTATTGACTAGCTACTAGCCTGGACAATCAAAGTACAGGACAGCAATGGAGGGACCAGTTGTATCACCAATAGAAAATAGTGCAGAAACTTACCCACATTGCAAATTCATGTGGGAGCAACATCTGCTGCAAATGCAGTAATCCAAATTATGTGGCAAGAGATTGAACCAATAAGGTAGAGTATCAGGAATGTGCATACACTGCTACCAATGAAACAGTTAGCTACATGTCTTGATACTTTTCAGGAAAAAAGAAGCAGGGCCAATTAAACTCTTTTCCAGGCAATTTGTGAATGAGGTGCTGCCTGTTATTGAAGTCTAGATAAAAAAGACCTCATAACTCTAGTTGATCTGGGCTGTTTCTGTTCAATGATCGAACACTAGACTACAGTGATTTGAACATTTATGCTGAAGCATTTATGACTGACACAGATGCTTGTGTGTGCAAGTTCACAGAGTGGTGTGAGCTAGAATTTAACATATCCTTGTTGGATTTCAGACCAGGGGCCTGCGCTTCTCCTCCTCTTTCATCTTTTGATCATTGAAAAGTCACTGGGAAAGGGGGTGCAGTAACACCACTGAGATTGATAGGTGATTAATATCTAAAAAATTAAATCCTGAATTGTTATAATGAATTAAAAATGTCATGAAATGTTCAAGGGGACTATTTAGATTGTGTTGATAATAATCAAAAATATAAGAGAAATGTGGTTGATTATAAAATCTAAACAAACTTGCCATGTTTCATAGAAGAAAATGGGGTAATGCAACAAAGAAAAGGCAAAGGTTCTGAAGTAATAACTCATCCTCCATGAACAGGAGTAGCAAATAAACCTCTGCCATCAATATGTTCTGCTTATATGAATGAGCTCCGCGTTGGTGAAATAATCTATACACTGACCTAGTGGATAACTTGAAATGAGATGAACCACATAATCTGCAAGAAGTGTTATACACCAGCTGTAAATGTTCTACAAGTGAAGTCTGCATTTAGAACTCCTCACAGACAAAAACTCTTCATTTTTAGAGGACTGAGGCATGCACCTGCATTTCTAATGTGTGCATGTCCTTGTAGGAAATGGAATAGGTTTGTGGTCAGAATGCAGTGCTGGTTCCAGGAAACTATACTAGTACAATGTCACTGCAAGACTCAATACCTTTCTGAAAACAAGGTTCACTCATGTGACGTTTTGCTGAAGGGAGTCTATATAAGACCAACACAGGATATAGCCTACAAGGTGGAAACTTTCCTGGGTAAATATCCTGGAAAAGCAATGCACAACTGTATTTGAGATGGAAAGAGGGAACAGATTTGTTGGCAAATATTCAGTTCAGGTTAATAGAACACCATGCCACCTATCTTTGTCCTTTCTGAGGGTTGAATGTGCCAGCTGGTGATGAAAACGGCACATCATCTGAGAATATGTGGGAGATTACAATAAACTTGAGTGATCCAGACAAGTGGGTGATGAAGTGGATCAGAAGTAAGACCCCCCCCCCAATAAACAGTGAAGCACACAAATGAGGCTGCCACAAAATTGCATCTACTGATTGAGAGATCAAGGAGGATTGGTGTCAAGAATGAAGTAGCAACCTACCTGGTCATCAAAAAAAAAAAAAAAAATTACCTACTACGTTTTTTTTCTTTCCATAAATAAGAACATATGTAGAAGTGGCTGATTTTGCCAGCCATGTATGCAAATAACTTAACCTTACAAAAGTGTTGACATGGAGTGTGCATTATGTTTTTCAGCTTGGTACTATGTGGTCATATCAGTTGGTGAAACTAAAGCAGTAACTATTGAAAACCATTTTGAAAGTCACAATATTCACAGATGCAAATATTTAAATTTTAAATGTAGCCCATTTTAAAATCGCAAATGTTAAATTACTTTTTTATTATATTTTCCTTCTTTCCATAGGAATTTTCCCCACGCCGCCGTTCACCAGCTAATACTAGTGGATTCCAGCAACTTCACCAGAAATCACCTTTGATTGTCTTTGACCTTTCACATAATTCCGCACCACAAAGACGAAACCTTTTTGAAAGCCGCGTTTGTAAGGAATTAATGACTAAAAATTATGACAAGGTTTGTCACTTATCATTTGGCAAGAAATAGCTTCCTACTTATATTTACTTTGACTATTTCACAAAAAAAATTTATAAACATATTCCATTTTTATATGGTTTATTGACATTTTGGAAACCTACTTTTAATGTAACCCATTAATTTGTTCTCTACCATGAATGACATAATTCAGCAATCTATTAGTCCAGTGCAACAGATGAAATAATTTCTTTCATGATAATGTGCAATTCTTTTGTAAGATGGCCAAACTTTAGAAAGTGTAGTCTTACAAAATGAAAAATGATGATCAAATAGCTATGAGTATACTGAACCTTATCTATAGAATCATAGTTTTTGTTGGAATTTTTAAGCTGAGGAATTATCATTAGTTTATGCTTTGCTCTTTGAACCAGCATAGCCACCTTGGCTGTTATACTCATATTGTGGCCATTGTACTCTGTGGCCTTCTTAGGTGTATCTCTTTGTATCCAGTAACCTTAGAATTTTGATTCAATACATGGTGGTAAATTGTTTTTATTTCACTTTACATGTTTAAGGGATATTTCATATCAATTAATACCTATCAGTCTTATTCATCTTTGAAAAGATTCAAAGGATTTGTGGTCCATACAACAACAGGATACCATTCAAAAGCAGTTCAACCCTTCAGAGATATTCTCTTGAACCAAGCTCTATCTCGGAAGAAAACCTGACAAAGAACTGTGAATTCTCTCCCATACAATTGTAGCAAGGAATGCAAAGAAATCACACACTCTAAGAATGGGGAAATATGGAAAAGTTGTTTTCTGGCGAGAGACATTGAAACCAAGAATGGCTGATTAAAAGGGTGATTATCAACATCTGGAATTAAATTAAAATAATAGATAACACTGGGGGATAAAATGATACTGTCAACCTTCTCAGTAGAGCTAGCATAAAGATGAATACTATCTAGGTGCCTCTTTGATTAACAAAGACAATAAAAGAAAATTCCATCACCTGAGTTGGTGTGTGTCTACAATTCCTCAGCTTGAGTACAGACAGTAAGTTTAAGGCTTCATTATTTCAACACTGGATTGGCCTAGTGGATTAACATATTAGTTAAAACATATCTGGCAATCCTTGGGTCTGATAGTGCTGAAAAGTTACATATTCTTGTTTAATGGAAGAAACAGGCAAATTCTCAAAGGTAAATAAACTGCTGTGTATTCCTTAAGCAATAAAAATGAAATTAGAACATTCTACAGCAGTGGATAGATAAAGATTTTGATTTAATAATTTCAAAAACATTACTGAATATGAAGACAGACTCCTGAAGAAAGCTGGAGGTGTAACAGCCAAAATGGGAATAGTGTTGCCAAGTGAGATTTTTTTTTTTCTTTCATTAACAATAACTAAAATTGGCTAAAAAAAAGATTCCAGAACAAATTATGAAAACTTTACTTTCCATATTAATAAATCTACTAAAAAAAAAATGTCTACCTCTAATATTCTTAAAAAAAAAAGTTTGCTAAATATAAGATTAATTAATCAAATATGGAAAAATAAAAAAAATTCTAATTTAATTTACTTTCACTGACCAGGATCTATTTTAGAAATAGTAATTTTTTTATTATGAAAGAGAATTGGCTTTAAATTTGATGACCAATTGTATATAACACTTTAATTTTATTTTTGTTCACCTTTGTTCAATTTAAAATGCAATATTTGTTAAACTTGACCTTTACTTTGTTTGCATCCATAATATGACTGGCTGTTTCAGCCAAGCTTTTAGTGTCACTGTAATTGTTATTTTACATAGGAAGTTGTAATAAGACATTTCAATTTCTGGAGGGAACAAAGATTTTATGAATTTAAAGCATAAAATATTCCTGAAGCTTAAATTTGAGTAATTAATCAGATGAGAAAAATTTAGATTTATGGCTCCTAAGAAAATTTAAAAAAAAAATTGCTATAGAGACATTCAACAATAAATTTTATTAAATAAACATCAGAATCCAATGTTTAAATAATTAAGCAACAATTACTTAAGATGTTATAAAATGTAGGTAACAGCATGCAATGGGATATTCTTACTTCTCAACAGATGTAATAATTTAGGAATTAGATCAGCTTTTCAAATATTGAAGGAAAATGGTGATTTGTGCTTGCATATAATGCTGTTGTGCCAATAGGTTTTAATGGGTTTTAGGGAAGTTCATATGTGCTATAGTATTTATTGTGCTTTCTTAGTCCAAATTTAATTCCTAATAATAGCTGAGTTAATTACAGACTTGGGGTCATTTTGGACATCAGCTGCTATTTTGACCTTGTCAGACCTTGATATTGGTTACTTATCGAGGCAGGAGTAAATTGTGTCATCAGCATAGATACCAAGTTGAGAGTTGATGTTATCAGGAAAGTCATAAATGAAAATTAAAAAATAGAGTAGAACCAAGGATGGAGGCCTGGAGGACACCTGTATTAGTATGAAAGGATCTAGGTGAGTGGGCATTCAGGATAACTCTCATTTCATGATTTGATAGGAAAGACTGGGTCAAAGAAGTTTTCTGGTGACACTGTAACTTTTCAGCTTGTGGAGAAGACCTGAATGTCAGGTTCTGTCAAAGGCTTTTGAGATGTCCAATGCAACAGCCCAGGCTTCACCATTTTTATCTAGAGCATGATAAACTCTTTCCATAAATACATCATAAATAAGTACATCAGCAGTTAACATGGAAAAATGAAAGCCATATTGCTTGTCTGAGAGATGATGAACCATTGATTAGGGCCTCTAGGACTTGCCCAAAAAGAGGTAGAAAGCTAATAGACCAATAGTTGGAAGGGTCGGACAGCTCACAAGAGTTCTTAAAAACTGGAACAACAGACAACAGGTAATGACTTCTAGCAGACAGGAAAGCAGGAATTCTTGATTCTTTTACTATTTTCAAAACTGTATGCTAAGTAAAGTCTTTTTACAAATAATATTCATTGTTGCATAAAATTATGTCCATAGTAGAAGTTGGTATTACTAACTTGTTGGCATTTGATACTCTTTATAAAAAAAAAAAAAGTTCAAATAAAGCTTTAAATTAAAAATATTAACAATCAAGCTATAACAGATGTTTCCAGATAAAAGTTACTGGTGATAATTATTGACTCCTATCTGTTATTTAAAATGGCAAAGTGTAAATTACTGGAATTATCCTGTTAAATGGGATTTTTGAAGATGTAACTTGAGTGGTAAAAGTATGACCATAGGCATTGAAAAATCTTTATAAATATAAGTTATCATTTTGTATTTGTTTTACTCAAAATATTTTGGTTAATAGCATTTCTGAACGTTATGTTGTTATTGATGACTGATAAAATATTTTGATTTTGTTTCAGGTGGCTAATTTGGTCCACCAACTCTACCAAGGGAACCGAAGTATATATGTACAACAAGTTATGCTGAAGGCTATCCCGAGGTTGGCTGCCTTTGATCCAGAGCTCTTTTCTCGCACGTGAGTAATTAAATGAAAATTTTCATTTACAAATTTATTTTTTTTATAGTGTATACTAATGATTTTAACTTTAGTTGTTTATTGATAAAGTATTACCACATATTCAGTCAGTTATGTGTCCTGCGTGATACATGCTTAGGCAATCATGTAACTTTCGATACAGGACTGATGATGCAGATTTTTTCCTGCAGTAGGTTGCCATTTCTTTCTGCGGTAGACCAGTTTCCATCCAAGGCTATAGAACCCAGTCTGTCCTGCTATTTACCCATAGCTGGGGAGAGAAGAACAGGAGTCATACCCTTTCCCAAGGGTATTAGCACGTAAGTGAATAGTGAATTAAAAAAAATTACTGTTGACTTCTGAAAGAAATCGTAAATAGCAAATAAATTATTTAAAGCTTGGAGTCAGACTGATGACCAACCAAAATCACAGGTTTAACAGATTAGAATTCTTTAGCATTAGTTCCCATTATTTTGTCAGATAAAGCATAATGTTATATTTGTTTTATTAAAATACTGAAAAGTTTAATTGTATGACTTTATATTATCAATTTGATATTTTCTGATTATTACTTTTTAAATGCTAATGTTCATGGATTGTTCATTAGTTTTCATCTCTTAAATTTGTTCTTATTTGCTAGAAAGGTTACTTAAATGAAAATGGTTTTTCATTTCAGATTTTTGAGGGATACTATTGTCTATTTGCTAAATGCTTTAAGACGTGACAAAGAGAGACCAGCAGCATTTCAGGCTGTTGGTTTGCTTGCTGTTGCTGTCAAGGACAATATCTTCAGCTATTGCACTCGCATCATGGAAGTAGTTCGCAGTGCTCTGCCTGCAAAGGACTTACCTCAAAAGTAAACATTTTTACTTCAAATGCTATATGTTGTATATTTTAAACATTTTAATTTGATTTTTATGTATTATTTTGAAAAATCATTTGATTGATTCAGAATTGGATGCTATATTGCAAAGATAGAATTTTTATGAAACAAAAATTATTTGGAAATATTCTTTAAGTATATTAATATTGAAATCATTTTTTGCTCTGTGTTGCAACTTAATTTTAAATCCTAGTTAAATCCAGTTACCAATTTATTAATAATTTTTATATTTAAAATTTGCATCAAAATAACTGAACTATTATTTTAGCTTTTTTACAAATTTGATTTATATTGAAATAAATGAGTTCTTTTATTGTTTAGCATTGTACTAAATATTTAACTATTAGTAAAATTCTGCTTTCTTTATATAATTTTAGGAAGCAGAAAGCTATCTCAGTTGAACCATCAGTATTTACATGTATCAGTATGCTTGGACGAGCTCTTGAAACATCTATTGCCCGTGACATGAGAGACATTTTAGATTCAATGTTATTTACTGGCTTGAGGTTTGTTGTCATTTATTTAAGTTATTGTAATTGCATTGTTCCTTTCTCTTAAGTAATTCAATAATCCTAGCTAGACTTTAAATTTTTGAAGCTATTTACTTTTTAAAAAAAAATAATTCTATTTTATAAAAATAGAAATTGCTGTATTTGGTGGTATATAATCCCTCTCCTATTTACAGCTAATATTACAGTATTCTGGAGTTAAGCTAAATGCATTTACTAGTAGTCTGTGGTATCTAGGTAAATCTTAGCCTGACAAATATCATAATTAATGTAAGACCTAGGATATATTTTTTTATTCATTTTCATGTGGGTCAGAGGGAGGTCTCATATAGTATCAAGTGTGGTACATTAATTTCTTGGCTTTGAATTTTAAAATCAGTAGAAAAAAAAAAATCTCTTCCTCAGTTAACTAGTAAAATTATGGTTTTATAAAGTGCTCTTGCCTATAACATTTTTATTTTTCTAAGTCTGAAAATACTGTAGACTTATATGACCTTTTTGTGACTTTTTTTTTCTTTAATGTATAAGCAGTGTTCTCTTGCATATAAGCAATTTTACATTTATTATCATAACTATATTTCATCCCAAATTTTCCGTTATCTATTATTGTTGCTTTTATTTTACTTTTTTTTTTTTTTTTTTTTTTTATCAGCCCTGCTTTGACAGCTGCTCTCCGAGACCTGGCTACATACATTCCTCAAATGAAGAAGGACATCCAGGATGGGTTACTTAGGATGTTGTCCTTGATTCTGATTGGTCGACCACTTCAGCATCCTGGGGCTCCCAAGACTTTACCCATTGGATCATCTGGTAAAAACATTGTACTCAAATTTTGAATATTTGGGAAAAGATAGATGACAACTTTTTACTTATCTAACTTGTTTAAAATTTACAAAAAAATGAGAGAATTAAAAATTAATTTCTTTTCATAATTTGAATGATTAAGAACAATTTTAAGTTGCTAATTTTTTTTTACATTGGTATTTGTGTATACTAATTTTTAGCTATTTAAAAAAAAACAAAAAAAAACAAGTTCATTTGTAAAAATAATTGAAGAAGTAATCTTCAGTTTAGTTATAAACTCTAAATCATTTTGTTTCTATTTTCAGCTAGCACTGATTCACAAGATGATACCAGCATTACATTAGCATTATCTACATTAGGAAGCTTTGATTTTGAAGGTGTGTCATATCCATTCTTGTTCTCAATGAGTAAATTATTTTCTTAGGAATTTTTTAGTTTGTTTTTGCATAATTGAAAGATAAAACACTTTGATATTGAACTCTATAGCAAAGCTGAACATTTGATAAACTGTAATTCACTATTAACTCTATTTACATGTGGACTATTGTCCTCATCTTTTCTTGTTATCATAATGTTTCAGTTGTTGTGCCCTCTGGCCATCATCATGTGTATGTTGATTCGAGTAACCTACAGGGAATTCTGAACTGAACTATCTATTTAATCTATGGAGGGTAGACTGTTCTTGTTCCACTGCCCATGTCCAGTTCTTATTTTTACTACTGTTTCCATTTAGTTCAAGTACACACTGCCTGTCCCAGGGATTGAATTCACAAATACTATTTTATCAAATTCATGAACCAATGCTTTAATCCACAAGGCTATTGCCTATTTGGTGACATAATAATTATGAGTTCAATCCCTGAGAATGAGAACAATACCCTACCCCCTTGATTAAATAAAGAGTTCAGTTTGGAATTCCATTAGGTTATCTGGATTGGCATACATCTGATGAAGGCTGGAGGACACAATAGCTGAAGCATCTTAATAACAAATATGAGTATAATAACCTACATGTAAATAACTCCTCATCCCAGAAATTCAGACAGAATTTATGCTTATTCACTGTTATTTTTGATTATGTTTTCATGAATTATGAAAATATCCAATTATTTGATTATAACTTCGTATTTTTAAACATTTTACTATTTCTGTGGATTTATTTGAAATTTTTCTCTCAATATTATTTTTGTTTATGAATTTTGGATTTGGCTGTTAATTATTTATTTAGTTACATATCTTCTGTTGTTTTTTTTTTTTTTTTTTTTACTGATAATGACTTCCTTTGTCAGGTCATTCTTTGACGCAGTTTGTCCTGCATTGTGCTGAGAATTATTTATGCAGTCGGTCCAAAAAAATCCGATCTGAAGCAATCCGAACCTGTGCCAGGTTGCTGATGCCATTGTTAACAGTAAGCAAAGTAAAATGGCTTTTTTGTTGTGTTTTTCCTTTTTTGAAATTAATTTTTTTAAACGAAATTATTGCAAATCTATGATGTAAACTTAAATTTTGTTCATTTTTATTTTTTATACTGGTATTTTTGTTTCAGAAACATTTAATCAGAATATGATGTCTGTTTTATTTACAAGATTGCAATTATTATTAGCAGTTATTATAACTTGGAATGTAAAAAAAAAAAATACTTTGGTTTACTTTTATGTTCATTTAATTATTCTTTAATCTACATGTAATTCTCTTAAGGAGTTTCATTTAAATTAGGTTTATATTAAATTTCTCTCTTTATATTGTTCAATATATATTGCTTTTATTGTTTGTTTTTGTCTCTTAATATTTCCAGGCTCTAGAAGGACAACAGAAGCATAGTATGAAAACTATGAATACAGTTGCTGATGTTCTCAAGAAGTTGCTCATCGTTGGCATCACAGATCCAGGTATGATTATTTGGTAACATGTGTTTCAGTTAGAACTCACAACTAGTTGTTTTCAAATCGGTTAGGAATATGCTTTTTTTTTTCTTTTTTTTTTTTTTTTTTTTTTTTTAACAAAAAAAATGTTAATATTTCAGTCCTCAGATCTGTAAATGGACATGTATTTTATGCAAAAATTCTTCTACAGATGGATCAGAAGATAATGAAAATTTTTTAACTATAACAGATTAATTTTTCAGAAATAATTTTGAATTGTAGCCATTGTTTGCTATTTAATGATTAAAGACTAATACCTGGATATTGTATCAAAGAAATTCTGTGAATAAAATTTCTAATGTACTAATGATAAAAAAGAATTACAGACATTTTATAAACCAACATCTGTTAAATACATGCATTGATTTTCTTCTGTGTGTTCTTTTCAGAGCCAGAGATTCGATATTGTGTCCTTTCTGTATTAGATGAACGCTTTGATCCACATTTGGCTCAAGCTGAAAACCTAAATGCCTTGTTTGTGGTTCTTAATGATGAAGTGTTTGAGATTCGTGAATTGGCCATTTGTATTATTGGACGTCTCAGCAACAGGAATCCTGCTTACATTATGCCAACCTTGAGGAAGACTTTAATCCAGGTGAGTTATTTATTGAGAGCTAAAATAAACATGAGGAGTTGCTGAAAAGTTCTCAGCCTGACTAAGAAGTGATTCCAAAATACTGTTTGATTAGATTTTAGGATGTGGATTTAGCCAAGAACATTTCAGCACCCTATTGTATATGTATGCTCACGCATTTGAAACTTGTAGGCTTCCTGCAGGCCATGGAAACTGAGAAAAGTCCTGGGAAATTGACAGGACCTTTGCTAGGCTTGAAAAGCCCTGGAAAAAACAGCAATAGCTCAAAAGATCCTTGAAAAGTCCTGGACTTTTCTAAATTGGGCTGCTTACACATCCTTTTTCTTGGTTCATGAAAGTTTGAGAAATTTGGTTTTTTTACAAGCTAAAATTTTCCTTTAAGAAAATTTTTTTTTTTTTTTTAAGTCATCAGTAATATTTGGCAGTTATTGCAAACTGGTTTGTTTCCTTGATTAGAACAATTACGTAGTTACTTCTGTATTTTCTCGTCTAGGTGACAAGAAAGGGAGAAAGAATATGAAGGCATGTATTCTAGTTGCTACCCTCATTCAACAAGAGGAAGAGCAAAGATAAAATGTGTCACAGATAAATAAGTATCTCTGTCAAAGATAAGTTAATTCACACTAATTGAATTTGCAGTTGAAAGGAAAATAATAAAATACAGTACAATAATTTAGTAGAATCTTGGAAAATTTATCAATGTTTTTTAAAATTTGGACAATTGAAGAAATTTTCACATGTCAATTCCGAAAGTAAAAAATCTTTTTGATCTTGCGTCAGCAGTAGATGAGTTCATGCTGAAAAAATAGATACTTTGTGTCCATATCAATGGGTATCTGTGTAAACTACGTTTGTCTAAATTGTTGCCAAAAGTAACAAATTTGAGAATCAAATTTGACTCAAAGAAAATGTAGACAGTGAAGGATGATAGAATAGAAAATATGCCTTTTGATGTTTCTTAGGTTGGGATAGAAAATGCATCTTTGAAAAAATGATAAAATATTAAAACTTATTTGGCTTTTATTGCTTGGCTTTGTTAAAAGTTCAATCTGGTAACCCTATCCCTTTACTTTTCTATTTCTACTGTAGATGGCTAGAAAATTTACAAATATGGGAACAACTGCTATACATTTGGCCAGATGTCGTCAAATTTGTGAACTTAATTAAAAAAAAACAGAAAGATGTCCCCCAGACCAAGTCCTCCTCTGCAGTGCTGTCAGATGTGAATAACATTTTATTTCCAGTGAAACTGCAGATTTTTGTGTTTGTTTCAAGATATTTAACTGTTTCTGAAAATATCAGAGCAATAAACTGTTGCTTCCTTTCCTTGCAGATGATCTTTTTAGTATGATCATAAAATTAAGATTTGTAAAGGAAGAGCATACTAAAAAGATAATTATATTTTCCAAAAAGAATGAATTTGTAAGAATTTTGTCAAATCCAAACATGCATAAAGATGCTGCAAAGATCGAGTGTGGATTTCTGGCAGATAGGGCTATGCAAAATTTATTTAAGCACTAGTGGGGACATATTTCATTAAGCATCATAATTTATTGGGTGCTCCGTCTCCATATTTTTCAATAAAGGTTTGTAATGAGTTAATCCGGGGAGAGAATGTGTTTCATCCTTACAGAATTGGTAGCTCAATAAATTGTAATAAATAATGACTGAGAGTTGAAGTGGTGCTTACTGAATCTTTATTGAGCTACAACATGGCCACTTTGTAGAAGAGTTACAATACATAGAAGAGCTAATTTGAACAGATTTTGTCACCACAAGTCAATTGGTAGTCTTTAATCTTCCTTGGGTCTAGTTGTGTAATTCTTACTGAAACTAACTTCAGAATGTTCAAAGATTACAAGCACCTTTTTCTATCAGTCAAAAAAGTTTCAACCTTGCCTGCATCAAAAGTCTTTGCAAAGATTGATACTGTTTTTTTTTCTCTACTTGAATGAACAATACATATTTTTGAAATAGCTGATTTTATTTTTAAAGCACTCAAATGATTTCCATCCAAAAGAAAAACATGAGAAGGAAAAATAGAATTATCTAATTTAGATAATGATTGTGTAATTGACAAAATCTCAATAATAATAAGAGGAAGAAGAACAGGGTAAAATAATGAGATAATGTAATGCAAAACAAAGCAGCTATATGATAGTAACAAAGTAAAAATTTAACAAAATAGAAAGTTGGTATCATACAGTAAGAGCAAAAATAGAAAGTTCTGTAATGAATGTTTATCACTAAAATCTGTGGAAAAAAATTATCAGATTTGTTATTGTGATATTTAATTTTTTATTTATTTTTTTTAAAGATTTTAACTGAACTAGAACACAGTGGAGTTGGTCGAAGTAAAGAACAAGCAGCTAGGGTCTTGGGGCATCTTGCTTCAAATGCATCTCGGCTTATCAGACCTTATGCAGAACCTATTCTAAAGGTAAATTTATTTGGCAGTTAATATTTCTTCTGTTTTTTTAATTTTAAGTATTTGATTATATTTATCTTAAGTTTGATCCTTAAAATGATGTACAATTTGATAAAAATATTTTAAAAAATCATTAATTTTTAATTTGGTAACTAAAAACAAACTTTCTCCATTTCAAGTTTATTTTTTCAGTTATTATTATTTGTTAACCCATTAATTGAGGCAGAAATTAGTCATTCTCAGATGAACCCTAGAATTACTATGACAGGAAATTCATGTTATAAGAGATTGAAAGTATTTTTGTTGTTTATCATCATTAAAACAATTAGCAAATCTTTGGGTGTTATATTCAAGTTTTCTTATTTGAAATTTTCCAGGTGAGAAAATCTTGCTAGAAAATCTCTTCAGATAACGTTTTTTTTTATTGTTTCTCTTTATAACTATTTGAGATATTGTCATTTATGTTCCAATCAATTTTCTACAGTACTTTTTAAAAAAAAAAAAAAAAAAACATATTTCAGGTGTTGATCCCCAAATTAAAAGAACCAGACCCTCATCCAGGTGTTACAATCAGTGTACTGGCTGCTATTGGGGAACAAGCTGAGGTAAAATTATTGCTAACTTTTTAACATTTTCTTAAAATTTTTTCTTCAAGTCCACTTCTAATTTGTATTTATTTTTTCAATATCCTTTTGTGACTGCTTATCAATTATGAAATTTTTCTTGATAATGTAAATTATTTAGAAAATTTGGAATTTTTGCTGAAATTAGTCCCCCATATATCAAAATCTTGCTTGTTATAGAATATCAAATAGTCTGCTGGATTTGACCATACCAATTTGGTCAATTCTTATCTCAACTGTTATCAACATACTGTGTAGATGTGTGTCTGCTATGGCTATTATTATTACCTTGATAAGTACTTAATTAATCTCTTTAAATTAATAATTATAAGCTGAGCATATAAGATTGAATTGAATATACTTCACACTGAATAACACCTAGTCCAAGAATAAGAAAAATCATTGCTGTTTAGCTATCAGGAATTAAAAAAAGATTTGACTGATTATAGTGTATTTGATAAAGTAGAGACCAGAGTGCTGTATCTGTAAGATAAGTTTTTTGAAAAGATGGAAGATGGTGTATTTATGACAAAAGCCTGGCTTGTAGCAATAGGCTATGTGGAAGATAGAACCAGTATCCATAAAGATTTTCCAATTTGTTCAACCAAAGGATGAAGACATAGACAGCACTGTGGAAATGGTCGGAAAATAACACACCAGAAAAGCTCCAAAACTGAGTGTCAGAGTACTTGGTGCCCGAATGTGCCAAGGAAGAATACCAGTGCGAATTGCAGGTGAGGCTGGACAATGGATGGCTGACTCCGTATCCTGTGGGGGAGCTTGGTCCTCCAAGAGGCCTCATCCCATTGATGGCCGTGGTAGAGAAGAACAAAGGAAAGGTGCGCCCTGTACTAGATTATAGAGAACTGAACGAACATGTAGACACATACATGGCTCATGCTGATGTGTGTGCACAAAAATTGAGACAATGTATCACCCTCAACTGCACCATCCAACCTGATTTACCGGTACAAAGTCCGGCTAAGAGGCATTGACGCGACGCGTTCAACTGAATGAATAAAAGAACGAGCGCTGTATGAACTGGGTGATCGTGTGTGGGTAAAAGCCCCACATAGCCGGTGTACAACTTGGTACCAGGTGGGACATGTCACTGGAATAAGTAACTTGCGCTCTGTACTGGTTGATGGAATACCAAGACACGTAAAAGACTTGCGTCGCCATGTCGGTTCAGATACTTCCACAAGTGACACTAGCAGTGAGTGCTCAGGAAGTGAAAGAATAATAACCATCGGAGGTAGGGCTAGCACCTCTTCAGATGGCAAAGTCTCTGTGCATGAGGTTGTCAGATCAGAAGAATCCTCAGAAGATGAGTCTTCAGAACATACCACACAATCCCCTGCAACAGTCGCCCTGCTCCAGAGAAGCTCGGGAATAAAGAGGCTCGCCCCAGAGTGTCACTTATGTGACAGTGGGGAGTGTAGTGAAAGAGATAATCAAGAAAAAAAAATCATCTACTTTAAGGACTAGAATCTATGCTAATGTTCTTCCCTCCCTTGAATGGCATGACCAATCCTGAAAGATCTCTGTGAACAAAAGCCGTTGTTCTTTGCTTATAAAGGCAGGAGATTTTCTGAGCTTGGGAGAGGAACACGCGTTTTTGCTGGTGAAAAGTGAAGGTTGGACGTGTGACCCCATTTTGTTGTTTCTATGCTGCTTGTTGGACTGTTACAATGGGCTATCATTTACTGTGATTTGGCTACCATAAGTTGACAGTCAGTTCTTTTCTTTACAACCACAGTCATCTTTTGTTAGCTTTAAACAATTGAATTGAATATTAAACAAAGAATGTTTTTCTCCAAATACTTCAGGGTTGTTCCACTGTTTCAGTGATGGTGAAATCTGTTTCCTGCTTTGGTAAAATATATGTAGTGAAAGAGATAATCGTCTCCCTCGAAAAAGAGTTTGTGTTTTGTGTGCGATCTGCCAAAGAAAAAAAAATGACTGAAAAGAGTTAGCAAAAATCTAATCGGAATCTGTGCTAATGTTCTTTCCTCCCTTGAATGGCATAGCCAATCAGAAAAATCGCTCGGTAAATAAAAGCAGTTGTTTTTCGTTTACAGCAGAAGGATTGTTTTTGAGCTTGGTGGATGAACATGTCTTTTTGCTGGTGAGAAGTGAAGGTTGGATTTGTGACCCCATTCTGTCATTTCTATGTTGTCTGTTGGACTGTTATGATGGACTATTGTTTGAATTGTGATTTGACTACAAGCGTTATGGTCGAGAGACAAGAAACCTATTGCAGGTGTTTATTGCTACTATAAGTTTACAGTTTTCTTTTCTTTACTACAACAAGTTATTTTGGCACTTACCTTGTTTCTAGCAAGATGGCGGAAAGACCATTTGACATAAAACTGATCACTGAATTCAGTGGTGATGCAAGTGGACAGCCTGTAGTTGAGTGGATTGAGAATGTGGAACTGGTCTGCGAATTATGCGAGATCACAAAGATCAAACAAATTCTTCCACTGTGCTTGAAAAGCGGTGCCCTTGCTGTGCATAGGCAGCTGAGCAAGGAACAGAAAAGTGACATTGAGCAAACAAAACTGTGCTCTACTAACCATGTTTGGAACTGACTGGTTTGTGGCCTACGACCAATTCCAGATGCTGCGTCTGCAGCCTGGCGAGACAGTAGACATATTTTGGGCAGAATTAAAGAAGCTCACTGTACCAGTTGCACCACCTCCTGAAGAATGGATGACCTGTGCCTTCATGTCTGGATTCCATAGTCATGTTGAGCAAATACTCCGCACATCATCCAGAATGGAAGACATGACACTCAGCCAGTTGTTGACCAGAGTCCGTGCTATCGTGATCGATGAAAAAGAGGCTGATGAACCAGTGGCCGCAGTCGTTCAACCAGTTGAAGTTAAAGAGGATCTGATCTCAGCCATCTGTCGCCATGTCAATGTCACCTGCTATTGGTGCCACTATCAATGTGAAGAAATGCGTGGTGGGTCGGTGTGAAAGGTACATCCCAATCTACGATGTTTTCAATGTCATTAAAGTAGGTCACATTGCCTCTAAGTGTCCGGGAAAACACGTATTGCTTTAGTAGATTTAGGCTGCTCTCTGTCACTAACAAACAGATCGATTTGTTGGCAGTGGAGCAGACAAAGATGGATGTATTAACGGCCAATGGAAAGGCTCTCAGGAGCGAAGGAGTTGGAAACATGAAACTCGGTATCAACAACGGTGACCCTATCACGGTGTGTTGGTCATGGGCAGCGTGTTATTAAGTTTTGACCTGCTCCTTGGGATGGACATTATTAAGGAGCTGGATGAAGTCAAGTTTTCTAGTCCACCCATTTGTGCTGCTTTGAGGATTAATGGGCCTGACTTTAAGCAGAGTTTGACAAGGACATGGACAGCACTGTGGAAAATAACCCATCAGAGAAGCTCCAGAACTGAATGTCAGAGTACTTGGTGCCTGAATGCTTCAAAGAAGAATACCAGCGTGAATTGCAGGTGTGGCTGGACAATAGATGGCTGACTCTGTATCCTGAGGAAGAGCTTGGTCCTTCAAGAGGCCTCATCTCATTGATGGCCATGGTACAGAAGAACAAGGGAAAAGTGCACCCTGTACTAGATTATAGAGAACTGAACGAACATGTAGACGCATACACGACTCATGCGATATGTGTGCACAAAAATTGAAAGAATGGCATTGGAAGAGGTCCAGTGTCTTTGTGATTGACCTTGGAAAAGGCCTACTTGCAGGTACATGTGCACCAGTCACTGTGGCCATTTCAGACAGTGATCCTTAACAGGAGGAGATACTGCCTAATGCAAATGGAATTCAAGCTCAATGTGGTGCTGGCCATTGTGGATGCTGTGCTATCCAATGATGAGACAATCCATCAAGTGATGTCAGCTTACATTGACAACATTTACACTAACAAAACCTTAGTGCCCACTGCGCAGGTGAGACAGCATTTTGTCGACTTTAGGCTAAAGCGTAATAACCCAGAATGACTGGAGGACGGTGCTCGTGTGCTTAGCTTGCAGGTCTGGGGAGAGCATAACATGCTTTACTGGAAATGTGGAAGTGAGCTCCCAGACACATGACATGATGCAGCATGTTCTTGTTATGTGGAAAACTGGTGGGACGTTTTCCTGTGGGTGGTTGGGTTTGCATTGCAACTGCTTTTATCAAATATAGCGTGACTGCTGTCACTTCCAGCTGGGATGACAAAATGATGCTCGCCTTAGAGACATGATAACGGAAGTCACTACCAGGGTGTGTCAAGACGACCTCGTACGTGGTAAATGGTGCGTTGACAGATATGAATTTGATGTCTGGGTGGGTCGATGCAAGCTCCCTTGCAACAGAAGGGTCCCTTGAAATAGATAGAACCATCATGGAAGACGCATGTTCGTTGCGTCCTGAGAGAAGGATACACAACATGTCAACCTGTTGGAATTGGACGCCATTATTAAAGGAGTAACCATTGCCCTTCAATGGAGTGCAAATGTGTTGCATTTGTTCATGGATTCTACATAAGTGGATAGTAGACATTCTTACGGGGAAGGCCAGGATACATACAGAGGCTTTGAGGGTTAGGGTTATTCAAAGGCGGCAAGACAACTTATTAATGGACATACAGCTGGTTAGATCAAATCGGAACTAAGCAGATCATTTAACAAGGGTTGCCCCAGTGATGGCTTGACACTATTAAGAAAAAGGTAGAGCCGGTGGGACATGTTTGTATAACGTCAGTGAGCGACCATATCTCAGATCTACTAAAATCTGTGCATTGTCAAAGCAGGTATTCCAGTGTAAAACGGATTCTATATTTCGTGAGGCAGATTGATCCTTCCATATCCAAAGCTGCCATCAGGGCAGTTGTCGGAGAATGCAAGGAGTGTCAGTCCATCGGCCCAGCACCTGTGCAATAGCCAAAAGGACAACTGAATGTGAGCAAAGTATGGCACCATGTTGGAATGGACATCACACACCATTATCTAACCCTGATTGACTGTTGCCTAACCCAGTTCACTATTTGGTGATGTCTGCATTGACAGGATTCTGCAAGTGTGATTGACCACTTGCGGGCGTTGTTCTTTGAACATGGATCTCTGACAGAACTCCTCACTGACAACAACACTGCATTCCGCAATGGACTATTTAAATATTTTTTTGTATTCATGGGGAGTCCACCTCAGATTTCACTGCGCATATGCCCCATCAGGAAATGGCATAATTGAGTGATGTCATTGGAGCGTCAATAGAATCGTTGACTAAGAAGCAGTGTTCCATAATGGAAGTATTGGCACAACGTTACCGCTAAAGACAATGTGTCACCCTCAACTGTGCCAGCCAACATGATTTACTGGTACAAAGTCCAGCTAAGAGACATTGACGTGATGCGTTCAACTGAATAGATAAAAGTACGAGCGCTGTACAACCTGGGTAATTGCATGGGTAAAAGCCCCACATAGCTGGTGTACAACTTGGTACCAGTTGGGGCATTTCACTGGAATCAGTAACTCATGCATTTTGCTGGCGAATAGAATGCCAAAACACATAAAAGACTTGCATCCCTGTGTAGTTTCAGATATTTCAGTAGGTGACACTAGGGCTATCACCACTTCAGATGGCAAAGACTCTGTGCGTGAGGTTGCCAGATCAAAAGACTCCTCAGAAGACTAGTCTTCTGAACATACCACACAATCCCCTCCAACAATCACTCCGCTCCAGAGAAGCTCAAGAATAGAGGCCTGCCCCTGGGTATCACTTATGTGACTGGGGAGTGTAGTGAAAGAGATAAAAAGATAAGAGTTTGTGTTTTGTGTGCGATCTGCCAAAGAAAAATTACTGAAAGTAGTTAGCAAAAATCTGCTACTTTAAGTATCAGAATCTATGCTAATGTTCTTTCCTCCCCTGAATGGCGTGGCCAGTCAGAAAAATCTCTCAGTGAATAAAATCTGTTGTTTTTCGCTTACAGCAGAAGGATTGTTTCTGAGCTTGGTGAACGAACATGCATTTTTGCTGGTGAGAAGTGAAGGTTGGATTTGTGACCCCATTTCGTAGTTTCTATGTTGCCTGTAGTACTGTTACGATGGACTATCGTTTGAGCTGTGATTTGGCTACAATTGTTGTGGTTGAGAGACAGAAGAAACCTATGGCATTTATTGCTACTATAAGTTTACAGTATTTTTTTTCTTTATTATAACAATATAATTTGTATAATGGTCATGTTCCTTAGTGCCCAATTTATGAATTAGGAGACAAATTTTCTTTTTTTCATCTTTGTGAAAAAAGTTGTCGTGAAAGGTATCTATCCAATGTTTAAAACATGAAGTGAATGTTTTTCCACTCACTGAGTCATAGTGGAATTCTGTGACGTTGTTGGGCAAGATATCCACTGAATTGGTATTTTGGTTTGTTCCAGCAAGGAAAATTTTGAGTTGATTCTGGAATTGTGCAGTTATTGTTGTTAATAATTGTTGTGACTTCTGAAACTTTTTGCTGTTGGCATAAAATCTCCGTAAGCATCTCTAATGAAATTGCAACAGATTTTGAAGTTCGAGGCATTGTTGCCAAAAATTTGTTGTATCCTAGGTTGTTGGTATAAACAAAAACAAATGAAAATAAAAGACAAGTATATTTTAACATGTATTAAAATAACTTTTATTCATTTACTGCCTGAGAACAGTATGGATTTGTTTGGATTTAAACCAAGAGTTCCTAGTGCATTATCACCATGTTGTATTCAGAATTGCTGTGGTTCAACTAGCGGACAAGGGACATAACTCCATTATGTTTTGAGTTATCATCCTTTATAGTGGGAAGTAAGTAAGCACCCCTTAACAGTTAGATTCTGTGAAACAGTTGATTTCCCACTTTATTGACCTTAGAACATCCATGTAGTGTTGCCAAAGTTGGTATGCTTGTTCAAATTTCATAGTATATGCCCTTAATTTGACTTTTCTGTGTGTTTGGTACTATGTCCAGATGATTTTTGGCATGTTTAAGAAATTGTATTAGCTTTGCAAATTTGGTTTAATTGATATTCTAAAATCACCATTTAATAATTTACTATTCATCAGCTATAACACCTTTTATGTTGAGAGCTATCCATCAAGTATATTTGCCTATCAGATCTCACTTGACATCAATAACTCTTCTGCGTAGTATTTCAAATTGGTAGCCAACCATTTTCTGTATTATCCTGGTAGCCAATAATAATGATGACTGAAGATAATGATTGACATTGCATTTACATTTTTGAAGATCAAATTTGACTGGAAGGCAAGAAACTGGAAGTGAGTTCTACAAGTGAGAAATGTGAGAAAAACTGTTAGCATAGAATTTATAGTTACATCTAGCCATTTCAAATGTAAAATGATGAGACCTAGCTGCCAATCTAGTATTGCACTTAAATTCATAAAGTCTAGTTACCATAGAGGAAAGTAATATTTATATTGTTATAATACAAAAATGTGGCACAAGCCCAAAAAGGGAGTATAGGGAAGGCAGGTTTTCAATCTGTCTTGTTTTAAACTTAGCTAGCCCTGATTACTGACCCAAACATATCCCAGTATTCCTTACACCAAAACAATGCATTCTTACCATTACTACAACCACCATAATATCTCAGTTTCTATGTAGTCCTAACTCTATGTATCATAGAAGAAAGTTCATCAGAACAATTACCATGAAATTATTTATAGAAAAAACACAGTGGAGCTACATTATGGCTGTGGGAATGTGACTGAAGCTGATTGCAGATTCTTTGGATTTTATCAAGGATCTCAAATGAGGAGTTCAACATATGTTGAAGAAGAAAAATCCTGATAATCATGTAATGAAATAACACATCATTTGGAAGAATTAGCAAGAAATATTTTTGTCATACCCTGGACAACAGTCCAAAGTGCCTAGCTAAGTATAAGGAATTTCACAAAATTACAAATATCAGTCTTCACAAAATTCTTCATATTAGCTGCACAAAATGACTTTCTTTGAAACAAGTTATGCAAAGAATTTTGGAGCCATAGCCAGCACTTTGTCATATTTCACAAAAGCAACACTGGAAGATGGTATCCCCATAATGGGTTCCAAAATATATAGGCAATTACATAACCCCATGACAAAAATGTATTTTGCTTTCCTTGCTTATATTTTAAAGGGCATTGATAAGCTTAGTTTGGTTTAGCAGGCAGAAACATATAGTTCATAAATTATGAAAGTTCTTTAACACTGGAATAAAAGCTATTCTCAGTAACTTCATCAAAAGAGTTATTGGAATAGAATGATACGAGTAAAATAAATGTGAATGATCCTTCCACACACCTTAAATAGAAGACATCCATTATGGTGCCACTGCAGAAAGTATTTTGATAGAAAACTCTGCTAGCATTTCTCAAGAAGTTTAGAGCTACTTGAAGCTTTAGACCCAACCAATATTATTGACGTTAAACCAAAATTTTCATACCATTGGCAATAAAATTTTTCCAATCTTGTGCATGAAGACCACTATGAACATATAAATAAAGAATGGAAGGAATTGACTCTGCAAAATGCATCTCTTAAAGCACAAAATGAAAAATACTGGTTTCTTGTTTTATAAGAGAAATGTGGTGATATATATCACTGCCTGTTACAAGCTAAGTTCATGATGAAACTTTTACTGCCACATTCTTCAGCAGCTGCAGAAAGTTTTTTCCTTCTCAACAACATAAAAACAAAATATCACAATGCTTTAAAACATCAGCATTAGATGCCATGCTAAGATCAAAGTCTCTACTGCAAAATTTTGACTGTGCTAAGGAGCATCCACAACAATAACTTTGTCTCAAACTGCAAGAAAACTGAGTAAAAATTTCATCAAGATTGTTACCATTATCTTGAATTTTTGTTAGATGATGCATTGTCAACTAATTTTGATTAGCATTTCTTTGATCTTAATTTTAGTTGCTTATTAACACTTTTATTGAGACCATCATTCTACAGCCATTAGTAAACAATGCAGATCATAAATGAAAATAGTTCTAGGTGCAATTTGCATCTTAAAGCTTTCTCTTTATTTCCAATCCATGTAGTTTGAAATACTAAACAAAAATTAAAGTTGGTCACGGGTAATGAAACTGAATTAAGTATTAAAATCCACAAGCCAGCAAAATTCTGACTAAATTCAGAACAGCTTTCAATATCTCACTCTAAATAGAATCTGCTGATAGAAAGTTTGTTTTATAAGATTCAAGAGATTATTTATTATGGAGAATTGCTGGAGCCTGGACACACTGTTATTGCATTACACTATGTTGAAGAATAGGCTCATTTGAGTGATATTGAAACAGAAAAGACCTTTTTTTTTTTTCTCAAGTTGACCATTGACTTTTTTTTTCTATATGACAACTCTTATTCTTATGTTGTAAAAATGTGACTAATCTTTTAAAATGTAAACAAATTTAAATTTATATATTTTTTTAGTGTATTTAATGTAGGCTGTTGCTATGTTTCTAAAGGCTCCTTAATCTCTCTTTAAGAAAAATTAGTTTAATGAAGTCCTATATTTAAGTCTATTGAGATATGTGTTTAAGTTATGATGGGAGTTTTAATCAGTTTTTGTGTCCAGGTCTCATGTTCATTATGAAAGTTATTGATATAAACTTTTCCGCTGTTCTAACTTGTACAGGTCAGTGGTCTTGAAATGAGGAAATGGGTAGATGAATTACTGCCCATCATAATAATGACTTTGCAGGACCTTACCTCAGTTCAGAAGCGTGAGGTAAGTTTTTCATTAATCTTTGTATAATATAAAAAAAAAAAAGATTCTACATGATAATTGTGATATTTGTCAGCTAAAGCACTGTTTGTTTATAGCCATTTCTATTGTATTTTTATATTATGAAAATAAATTCTGATGATGAGCAACTTTTCTTTTGTTTAAAATTACATATTTTTATAGTTTACCTAGATACCATTATTAATCACTTAATCATTTTTGGAAAAGGTTATTTAATGTTAATGTTTTGTCAGCTGATATTTTTTTCATATTAAATGTAATGATCTTAACTTTATTAAATTATGTGTAAGTGAAGATAAAACTTAGAACATGTTTTCATTATTATGAGTCATTCTTCAATTTGATATCTGATATTTGACAATGAAATATTTTGCTTTTAGGTTTCTCTTTGGACATTAGGTCAATTGATTGAGAGCACTGGATATGTAGTTGAGCCTTATCAAAAATATCCTGCTCTTTTAGGAATCCTGCTTAACTTCATGAAAACTGAACAAACTCATAGTGTCAGACGAGAGGTCAGTTTGATTATATACTTTTGTCTTTTTACCTCTTTTATTTACTTGGTATCATTTTAGTTATTTATTTGATGTGTACTTCTTATTTCATATCAGTCCATTAACTTAATTCTCTTGTTCCACTTTGTAAAATCAGTATTTCAATGACTAGGCTTTGATACTGATTTTGGGAAGTAGGTAGGGCCAAGTAATTTTTAGTATCTCCCTGTAAGAACAGCTGTAATGTGAATTCCAATTTTATAATTCCTATCTTACACTTAAAAGGAAATAATTTTTATTTGAAAGATATCTTTGAATATATTTTTGTTTATATGATAATTTTTTTAAAATTTAAAATTAAATTGTAGTTTTCATTTTCATAAGTGGCTTTTAATGACTAATGTGTTAGTGTTCTGAAGAAGAATTAGCTTCAGGAATTTTCTTCTGTTCTAAGTATGTACAAAAAATAGAATTAAAAAATTTGTAATTACTAATTCTCTATTGAGTAGAGGAAAATGGTGTCTTACGATAGTTTTCTTTACCTTCTATTCAAGGTCGTCCGTGTTCTTGGAATTCTGGGAGCATTGGATCCTCATAAAAACAAGTTGAATGTGAGCCGTTTAAAAGAAGAATCGGGAATCACATTAGGTGGAACATCTATTGAACCTTTTGCTATCAACAAGTCATCCAGTGATCCTCAGTCAACTATTCCATTAGGTAAAAAAAAACAAATATGCGTATGTATATGTGCATGTACATATATATAATATTAGTGATATATATTTCCAAGAGGATATAATCCAGGTAGAGCTCTGTTAGAGACAGAGCAAGAATATAATATAAAAGGCTTGAACACTAATATTTCATGTTTATAATTATTTCACTGGGTTCATAACAACAACCCAATTCCTCAGACCTACAAATTCAAAAAGGTTATTTATTTCTGTGCTATAACAGAAAATGTTGCACAAGGCCAAAGTGGGGAATGGGGAAGAGGTCTTCTGTCTTAATTTCTAAACTTAGCTAGCCACAAATGCTGACCCAATCATACTAACAATATTTCTTGCACCAAAACAACACATTCTTACTTACCTTTCTCATCACACCCACCATAATACCTCAATGACACCATGAAAATACTAACTAGACCCCATATGTACAATTTGTGGTCTGTCGGGGGAGGGGAATAAAACAACAATATAAAATTTTAAAAAGTAACCCCAGTGAGTATTTACAGTATGAAACAAATAACTATTTACAAGAAACTAAACAAAATTGTGTTAGTAATAAAACCCCCCACAATCACTAAATGTGGCAGAAACATCAGTTAACTAGACGAAATTAATGCGGGACTATAAAAATTAAAAACATTCATTCATTCCAAGCTCTCACACAGACATGCACTCATTCAGACACAACAACAGATACGAAAAATCACACCCGAAATGAAAAACGTCCCACATCCACCACAGAACTGACGTCACTGACCACCTAACGAGGGAGGGGATGGGGAATTAAACTTAAAGAAAGATAGGAACAGAAATAAAAGAGGTCAATGAGCATACATACCCTAGCTAAGTTTACTGAAAAAGGAAACTAAAGACTCAAAAAACTAAACCTAAGCTAACCTAAATTTTGGGGTGGGTTGCCCAAGTTCAACCCAGCTAAAGCAATATCCTGATGCCTAACGGCATCAAAGTGCCACTCCAGGTCAGCCCCTTTCACACGACACAAACGCGCAAGATTCACCCACCATTTGCCGAATTCAGATGATGTGAGTCGCCGCCTTTCCGACCTAATCCCGACTTTAAGCTGATGCTTAAAGTACAAGATCAGCTGGGAAGAGGTAAACTTCTTGCCTCCATAGAATCCCTTCTGTCGTGTTGTCCAAATCACGACTCTCATAACACCTAGTAAGAATAAGAACACATAGTGTTCAGTCCTCGTCAACAGCAGAGCCACATTGCTACAAACAGAAGTGGCCTCAAGGACAAAGAACTTTCCAGACAGCATGCGAAACATGATGCCTTCAACATACTTGCACAGCGGTGCTACCACCGAGCAATGAAAAAAGGTGTGACCAATGGTCTCGACCTCCTCACTACAATGGCGGCAGTTTAGATATTTCTCCAAGCCCTCTAAGCAGTCTTTTGGTGACCCAGAGAGCCCCACGCATCACCAGCCAGGTGAGTGATGCCTCATTGTTATTGCGACATTTCAACTCGGGCGCCCAAGGCCATATCGAGCGAGCCTCCTGCTTCGTAAGACTGAGCTTGTCAATCAAATCATCACGAATGCCCCCCCCCTTTAACTAACACCTGATATAATGCCTTACGAGGATGAGAAAGGAGGACGTATGAAATATCTAGAGAGAGCTGGAAAGAAAGACAGAAGAACAGGGAAGAAACTAGGGTGAGGAATAAAATTTTAAAGAGAAATTAAATTAAGTTTTAAGGAGTGAGATTTAGATGAATATGAGTTATTGTCAGTTGTATAAATTGACTTCTGATTCATTGACCTTAATTAAAAAAACACAGAATGGAAAATTATCAATATATTTGTGGTGGCAATAGGTACAAAAAAAGGGGTGGGGAAAGAGGTGTGAAAGAAAATCATTGAATGATCCAAACTTTTCATCTAGGTAACATATATGATAATGATGTATACATGAAAATTTGTTATCTGGCTTACATTTACTAAAGTTGTGTATACATGAAAGGAGAAGATGAGAGAGAGGAAGAGAGACAAGGAAAAAAGTTTGTAAGGAAAAGAAAGGTAGGAAAAAAGAGATAAAACAAAAGGAAAAAAGGAGCCTTTAATAAGAGAAATGTGTAATCAGGAATATTTTGAAAAAAACATGTAATTTTCCCTTAGAGATTACAAATTTAACAAACATATAAAAATATTTTAATACAGTTAAAACACTACTATTTTTACACACACATACACACATGAAATAAAAGGGTAATAAAATAATAAAAATTACGATAATGATAAAAAATAATAAATTAAAAAAATATAATCTGATAATTAAAAATAATTATTATAATAATAATAGAAGACTAATAATAGCAGTAGTAAAAAAATAAAAAATACAGATGATGAAAAAATTCAAATTAAAACAGGAAATTATATTAATAGTCAAACTAAAAGGAAATGAAATATAAGATATAGGGAGATTAATCTATTAAGTCTACAAATAAACCTATCTAGATATTATATAGCTGTTATCTAGAAAAAATTGGATACATACATACCCACATATACCAACACATAGATTAAAAATGCTAAAACAAATTAATAAATATAGAGCACCATATCAACACTGACAATGATATACAGGTCTAAAAAGTGTTAATCCATTTAAATGTCTTATCCAATGCTAGGAATCAACATCCAAACTTTTATAGGGAAGAATATGTTATAAAACTGTTTATGTTTTAAAGCGTTGTTTATGTTTACATTTAGCGTTACGTTCTAGCTCTTGATATGAATCTCCATTTCAAATGTGGGGTTAGTCCTTTGTCCACCAGTTCCCAATAGTGTTTGGATAAGGTAGTCTGGTTTTTTAAGGATCAATATTTGAAAGAGTGGTTGTATAGACATTGCTTCCAATTTCCAGCAGATATACTTATGTATCTTTTTTTTTTTTTTTAAGCTGATATTTTCTTTGGGGAGGATTGTATCTTCATATATTACATTCTCATACATATATTTTCCCCTGATTGGACATTCAACTCTTCTACAATTTATATATATGGGTAGTTGTATATGTGTGCATATCCAGATAAAACTACAATAATTAATGACACACACACACACACACACACACACACATATATAGATCCGACAGTATGAAGAAAAATATATACGGAAAAAAAAAATAAACAAACAAAAATCCTTATATGCAATCATGCTGTTTTAATGTTAATATGTCAACATCGGACATTTCTGTCTAATAAACCATCTTCAGGACATATTCATAAAATATAATTAACATTATCAATTCAACATGACAAAGACGATGGACATAAGAACAAGACTTATCCAAACAGTTAAATGAAAGTTTTATAAGATCAGCGCTCCGTTTAAACATGGTCACGTGGTTGACGCTGTGAAAACGTATTCCTAAAACTTGAGTATTTTGAATGAAAAGAATTCTGTTTTGATCTAAAATTTATATGTATGCTTGTCGAGCATATATATATATATATATATATATATATACACTCAATATCACCCAACCCACTTTTTTTGCAAAGAATTTAATATATTTGTATTTGTGAAGATATTTTAGGATTAAAAATATGCAATAATTGCATTAAAATGCATTTTTTGCCATGTAAGTATTTTGAAATTGCCAGAATTAAAAGGTAAAAATGAATGGGTATAATTATTATTCCCATTTATTTTTTACTTGTTAATTCTGCTGATAATTTCAAAACCTATATGTATTTTTAAAATTTCTATTTCCTTAAATTTATTACATATCTATAGTAAATAAAAGCATAACTTTAAAAAAAATCAATATTAAAACAACAAAGTAAATTTAAAAGATTAATACTAAATACAATTATTTGAAAAAAGTTTAATATTTATTTATTCAAACATTTGAAATAAAAATTGTAAAAACACAACAGAATAATTTCATGTAGATATATTATTTTTTGAATTTTCAGTAGCTTTAATACAATCAGATATTCCACAAACATATAAGCCATCTTTTTCAATATTTTTATCTGAGAAATTTTAAATTACCTCTTTTAATAACCTGTTTACTTTAAAAAATTTTTTTTTTAATGTTTTTTAAGTAAATATTTCACAAGAGTGTTTACTTATAATTTTACAATATACTGACAATATAGTATAGTGGAATGTCTATCTAATAATGATTTTCTGATTTAAAAAATATTTCCTGTTGAATTGTTTGAGTGGGATCAGTTTGCTACATTAATTTGATCTATACAGAACTCTTTTATCATTTTATTGAAATTAATATTAAAAGTTTAGATATTAAATTTTAAAAATGAATGCAAAAACAAACAAATTATTCTAATTATACACAATAGTTTTAAACATGCTGGGGTGGAGATCAAGACATTTTACTAAACTAATTATCCTTTCAAAAATATTTTGTTTGAAGTACTTTTTATTATTAATAAAAATTTTACTAAATTTAAATTTTCAAAACTTATTTATGCTTTCAAAAATATTCATGTTTTTATATAATATATAATTTTTTCTATTGTAGACAGCTCATAAAAGATAGCTTATAACAAATGTTAGTTAATTATGATAGTTTTATATACACACAACCCTTTCAGGATTGAAAATAAATAAAATAAAAAAAAATAAATAATCTCCATAGACACTTAATGGTTAACCAGACTAGACGATGTCATCTTCCGCTTTAAATTTAGACACCCCAACCTTACCTTGACTTGACCTCTTTGAATGTAACTGAGATATTGATACAAATTATTAACCCTTATGCCCCTTTTCTTTAAATAATTGTTCTAGCCGTTACCATAGTAATTTTAACTTTAATAATGAATATGCTTATAAAAACGCATACATTTCAAGAATTAGTTATTCCAAAAATTTTGTTTGAAGATGGAACAGAGCTTGGTACTTTAATTCAATTTAATTCAAATAATTATATTGAAGTTTTCGGCTCTTGTTTTGAAACTTAAGAATTCTTATGTAGCGAAGGAATCATATTTTTAAATAAATAATTATATATATATATATATATATATATATATATATATATATATATATATATATATATATATATTAATTAACAATATTTTCTCATGAAATCAATCTCTGTCTTTACTCTTTTTACTTTACTGACGAAAAACAATTTAAGCATAAAATACCTTTTTTAAAAAGCAATATGAAACCAAATAAATTATTTTAAATGAAGTAATTATTTTCTGATTTAAAAAAAAAAAAAAAAAAAAAAAATACTGGTGGTAGTTTGATAAATTACATAGACAATATATTTATTTAATAAATAGTAGAAGGTCCATCCTATAATTATTTTCTATTTAAAAAAAAAAATTTGTACATAATTCCCTCCAACCATCTGTCATGACACTTGACAATCTCATTTGGAAAAGGGGAAACCTCCAGTCATATTCTTGAGAAATCAGACCTCTGAGTCTTTGCAATGGCATCAGATTATCAAGACAATGAATCAACATTTTATTGAATTTCAGCATAGCAATGAAACCTAAGATGAAATTATTTCTTCCAAGCAATGCTGGGTATTGCTTCGTGTATATATATATATATATATATATATATATATATATATATATATATATATATATATATATATATATATATATATAATTTTTATCCAAATGTAAAATAATGAAGAGTAAAATTTCAGCATTCAAAGCATCAATTTAAAACGGGGCTCAATACAAAAGTAGAGCAATAAATATTTATTTATTATGCACTGTTACAGTGGAATATGTACATACCCACTACAAAACTGTACATCTTGTTTCAACATTAAAAAGTAATGTTTCTTCAGGTGGGAAACCATGATGGTACTAAAATATTTTATTCCGAAATACAGTTAATGAAGCACCACTCCAACTTCTGTCTTTAGAAAATTTTCCATAAAAGGTAAAAAGGATTTATATATAGAGAAAGAAAGAAAGCTAAGTGATTAATAAAAGCAAAAGAGGAAAGGGGAAGAAAAAGACCAAGAAAAGGAAATAAAGGTTGAGAAGAGTATTCAACATTCACTTATTTGTAAGAAGAAAGTTGAGGATATAAGAGATAAGAAAGATGTTTACATGATATAAATCAATGCATTTCCCTTTAAGACAAAAAAGAGGAGGAAAGTGAGAGAAACAAAGAAGCAACAAATTCAACCAATGAAATTCAGTTGAATTAGAGAATTCAAATTTAAACAGTAACATAGCAAGTTAGCTTAATGTTTTTATGGCAAAAATTCTTATGTTCAAAGAAAATTATTTGTGGAATATAAAGGAGTAATACAATATTTAATAAAACAGATTTTGCAATGTAAATTAGAATACCAAACAAATTTTAAACCTATAGTAATACCTTATGATTTGTTCACATTAGTAAAAACAATATCCTAAAATTAGCAGTTTCTTTCAGCTGGGTGTTTATGTAGATGTTATGGGTAGAATCTCTGACTGATGCCAAATCTGTTGACTTTCAATTCAAGCTCATCTGTATCTCCCATCCTTTATTTTTACTTTTCTACAGGCAATAACATCAATTCTCATTTCCAACATAATTTAGTTGAAAATGTATTTAGTATACTAATTCATACTGTAATGAATTAGAATACTAAATACATTTTCAACTTCTGTATTTTATTTATCATAAAACCTTATTAAAGAGAAAAATAATCCAAATAATATAACAAATATTTAAGATAAATTTTTAAAAATAAATAGTGAAATCAAGATAGAAATATTAACCTCCAAATTACAGTAAATATAAATATTTCTAATAAAACAGATATTATAAGCTAATATATCATATATATATATATATATATATATATATATATATATATATATATATATATATATATATACTGAAAATTTTATCAATATTGTTTGCTTAGTACTAATTTTTTGTTAAAACAGATTTGAATAATAAAATCTGATATTTGTGACTTTTTTACCACAGCTGAGTATACAACAAGTGGCTTACTCGTGACAATGGGAGCCCCTACATCACTGGAAGATTTCTACCCAGCTGTTGTTGTCTCTGCCCTTATGAGAATCATGCATAAAGCTTGTTTCAGTTCAGACCACTTCCTACTGATTCAGTCAATTTCATTTATCTTCAAAAGCCTTGGTTCCAGAAATGTACCTTACTTTGATCAGATTGTCAATTCTTATGTGACTGTTACCAGAAAAGCTGAAGCTAACCATAAGGAGGTAAAAGTTAAAAAAATCTCAAAACCGAATTAACTCTTTAAATGGAAAATTTAGCATTTGAATTCTGTGAATTAGATATATTTTTTTAAAAATTCAAACATTTACAAGATTTTATTTTTAAACAAAGTTTTAATTTTTTCTTAATTCATGAAATGCCATTAATGTACTTTCTCATGTTAATTTTGTTAATATATGCATTGATGAATTTAATAAGTTTTGTAAATAGTAAATAATATAAAAGTAATAGAAACTTTCTCTCATATTATTTTTATAAACCACTCTCTTAAAGTATATTTGATGAGTATATCATTCTCATTATTGACTAAATAATGACAGAGCCTACTATAAATTTTCTTTTAGCTCAAGATTTTTTAAGAAAAGCAAAAACAAGAAATTGATTGAAACAAAATTAAATACTGATAGAACTAGGTCAGAATAAAGAAAAGTCTATTTTTAATGATTGTCATATTTTCCAGTTCATGTTTCAACAACTTGGATTTTTAGTTGGTTTTGCTAAACAACATGTTCGTAATTTCCTTGGTGAAATTTTTCTGTTGATCAAGGTAAGTTGCTCTTCAATTTTTTATTAGATAATTATTTTTTAAACTTTTGTTAGTGGGGTTAGAGTAAATTTAGAATAATTTAAGTTAATTTTACTGCAAATATGGAATAATTAATGTTTTTCTTTTTTTTTTTTTATAACAATAAACAGTTTTATGAATGAAATATTTGTATACAATGTAGTTAATTTTTTTTTACTTATTTACTTATAATATAGAATGACTGATTATTTCAAATTGCATGATTTTTTTTAATTTAAAAAAGTAATTCCTGCATAATCTTCAACATATCAGACAACCAATTTACTGATTGTCAAATTTGTCTTGCTTTCATCTTATTTCAACATTGCTTGTAATATCTAAATTGCACATTTTAGGAAAACTGGACAATGAAAAGTCAGTCACAGAATATTTACTTGTCATTGTTGGAGCAGTTGGTGTTAGCTGTAGGGTCAGAAGTGAAGCCACACTTACCCCAGATTGTGCCTCAAATTTTGCGCATTTTGATGCATGACACTAGCAAACAACGTGAATATACATTGCAACTGCTTGAAGTCCTGCAGTTATTTGGCTCTAGCCTTGATGATTGTCTTCATGTCTTGCTGCCTTACATCATCAAACTTTTTGATTCATCAGATGTTCCTCTCAATGTGCGCAAGTAAGACTTTTCTACTTTTCATCATTTGTCAGTTTTTTGTTTTTCGCATTTTAACTTAATGAGTTCTCTCAATTCTCAGTTTCTAATTTATTGCATGAATTTATGATTTTATTAAATGACTCTTTTACTTTCCTATTATTTTTGTGATATATTTCTTCTAGTGTTACTATCAAAAGGTGAATTTAAACATGTATTTTCTTTTCTAAAATAAAATATGAATTAGGAAATTTTTATATTTTTTTCTTTATTAATATATCTTTTCAAAGTTAAAATTAAATCGATGATTATTTTAAGTATCTTTGTTGAAAATATCTATTATTTAAATATCTTTTTAATAAAAAAAAAAACAGTAATGGTCTAAACTTTTGTATTTTCTTTTACAAAATAATGTCATTGAATATATTTGTGTTTATTTTATAAATGTTATTTTGATATTTGATACTTCTGTCCAATTTAAGTCAGAGCCCATAGATATGCCAGAAATATATTCCTTATCAACAGGTTTGTAAGGCAAGAAGATTTGTTTCCCATGTACTTGTCAACACAGAAATTAGGCTTAGTAATTTGATCAATATATATGTCAATGTGCCAGAAAATTCTACAATGGAAGTATGAATAGTAAATTTACAGTCAGTCACATTGTTATTATGGTGAGTGAAAATGATTTTTTTTTTTTTTTAAGAAAAAAAAGGGTATGGAAATGGTTACTTATTGATTTCAGTTTTTGAAATAATTTTGGATATTTCAGTAAATTTATTTTCTATTAAATACTTGGAGTTCAGTGTATTTGGGTCAGTAATAGTCTACAGTCAAATCAATAGAACTGAAGCAGTTACTGTCAATATAAATGTTTGCATGAACAGAAAAAACTCTTTAACTGAGAAAGTTCAGAGAATTTTTATTCTATTTAATGTTCATATTGCTGTACTGATTTTGATGAAAGATTGTTTTGTTTCAGAATGGCATTGGAAACAGTTGATGTGTTCACTGAAGACTTGGATATGACTGACTTTGCCTCCCGTCTGGTCCACTCCTTTGTCCGCACCATTGATTCAACTCCAGAATTGATACCCACAACAATGGACACAATGTGCTCCATGATGCTTCAGCTTGGACAGAAGTTTTTACTCTTTGTTCCTATGGTTAGCAAAACAGTGGCCAGACACAAGATTAGCCATCAGAAATTTGAAGTTATCCTTGCCAAGATCACAAAGGTAGGCTCCAAAGCATATTTTATATTCTTATCGGTAGAATGCTTTCAAAAACTGCCACACTTTTTCATGGTTTCCTATTTTTGTCTTTCTGAACATTTCTTTTGTAGATTAATAATAATTTCAATTTTTTGTCATACTCTGAAAGTAAAGTAGTAACACCATGAAGGACTGCCAATTTTGACCTGGGATAACCTATTAAAATTTGCAACAATTTTGAGACAGTAATACTAATTGAACTTTTCTGCATCTGAGCTTTAGATTGTAACGCATACTTTGATAAGTATGGTGATATGGTTCAGTGTCATTCCATGGCACAGCTGTTTGAGGTTTCCTATAGCCCCACTGAACTTAAATAAAGTCAATTCAGGTTTCCTATGGTAAAAATTTTCTTTCCCAAGTGAAAATCATCACAAAAATGGCAAATGTCATTTTGTCACAGCTTATTTTCTCTCCAAAAATGGATTTTCATACTTTTATAGGGGTAAAATATTGAAAAATGACTGTTTTATCATCACCTAAACTAATATCAAGGAAACTTTTGATCTGAACCCCATGAAACTAGGTATTTTCTGAAAGCAAAGGATATATTCTTTCATTTAAAAGTAAAATTGGTAAATGACTCAAAATTTTTTTTCAGTGGGTAAAATGTGAAAAAATAGTGAAAATTTTGCATTTTTTCTTGTTCTAAACAAATATTTCCCCCATTAATGGGAAATTAACCATTTTTTTTTTTTTTTTTTTTTTTTTTTTAAATAATAAAGCCTAAATCATAATCAAACTATTTCAGGCATAAAATTGAGAGTTTTGAAGGAAATCAACATTCCTAGGGGTTCAAAATGTGACAAAATCCATTGTTAATTTTAAATCATGACTGCCAAGGGTTAAAAAAAAATTGACACCCGGCCACGGAAATCTTTAGTAAAAGGCAAGAGATTTATCTGCAATTCCTAACCATCAGAAACCAAAAGTTTGTTTTTTTTCCCAAAAAATAGCGATAAGGAAAATTAAGTCTAATTGACTTTGACGTCTAGGTCAAAGGTCAGCCAGCCAGCCAGCCAGCAATAAACAGCAAACCTTAGAACAAGTTGTAATAAAACCCACCACTCCCAGATAAAAGCAAAGAGTGAAAAAAAAAAAAGAAGGGTTCACCATGACTAGGTCTTGATATAACCTATGTTTGAACAATGGCTTGAGTTTTGTTTTGTTTTTAACACCCCGTGACCCGGGTGATGACAACAACACTTAGAAGACGACATTGTTTTTTTCACTGCATATCTTTCATATTTCCTATCGCCGGTCCATTTAGCCATTCCTTTTATTCAATGATGTTCATGCCAAATGAAAGAGAAAGGAATGAATTTTGAATGATGTTATTTTGAAGCGAAAATAAATATTTTTTCATTAAAAAAAAAAAAAAAGGGGGAATTTTTCTCAGAAAATTGGGCATAATTTCTTAATGCTAACTGCCGAGTGACATTTTCCACAGCCAAATCGATATCGGGTCATATTATGGGTGTTCAAGAGGCCAGTTGGTCATTTTGAAGAATTGCTATGTATGTTGGATGTGATACATTGGTGATTCTTTCATACTGGCAAATGACTATTCATACACTTATAGACCAGGTTTTAGATGGCTGCATATTACAGATGCTCGTCAACATCCACACATTGTAAGGTCATTAGTGACAGACTGTACAACATCCACATCATAGATCAAAGCAAATGTGACCTCCAGCCTGTCAACATGGCCAGTTGGGAATTGTTTACTGGCAACAGGATGACAGGCATGCATGCTACTATAAGCAAAAATTCCACTTATTCCACAACATTGTTGTGCTTATAGCTAGTAGTGTTTGTGTGTGTGATGTAGATTTTGCTTATGAATCTTTTAGAAGATATTTACCCATGTCACAAACCCAATCCCTGGCATTATGGTGTGGGGTGCTATAAGTTCAACACTTGCTTGTGGAGGGAACATTTAAACAGTACCATGTATATCCAGAATAGTGTTCAACTCATTCTGCTGTCATTCTTGCAACAGGAAGGCTATGTTCTTTTCTAATTGGCTAATGCCAGTCATATGATGACTTTGCTACTCCACATGTTTTGACAACTTCCCTAGTTGAACTGATCACCAGACTTATTCTCTATAGGACATGTCTGTGATGTGATGGGACAACACCTGATATTAAATTAGCCTACCTATGTCTCTTATATCAACAGGTGAAAGCAGTGTGTACAATCATATGCATGCCAGTGTTAACACCCATTGAGGATATACATTGTATTAATATGGTATCTTGAGTATTGTTGATACATCCCTAATTTTGAGATGCATTTACATGTAGTTTTGTATTGATCATTTACTGTAATCTAGCTATATTAACTGTGTGTTTAATCTTGGCCCATTGAAACACATATTCACTACTGCAATTTTATATTTGTGTATATATACTCTCTTTTAATGTTAACACATTCAAGATATATACTTTATAATTATTAGGTAAAAAAAAATTGTTTTTTCATCTCATTTGATTTTCACTTTCAAAGCTTATTAATGTGCTGTATTTTATTCTTAAATCTTTTTCTTAAATTGTTGATTCAGTTGTAAATCTATTTGTTTTGTCCTCTTTTTTTTTTAACAGGGTGGTGGAATTGGAGATGAAGATTTTGATGGACTTCTGAGCAGACGGCGCCAGAGAAAAAGACGTGACTCAAATCCAGAAAACCCCTCTGAGCTTCCAATAAGTAAAAAGCTGCATGTATTCTTTAGCAATTTGCAGAAGGTGAGCAAAGAGATAAGATGGTTCAAATTCTGGCATGTCATATTGTTTCCCCAAGGAAGTAGTATCATTCTTTCATTTAAAACATTGTATCTAGCATTTAATGTATAACTAATGTTAAAATTTTAAATGTTACAATTGTTATACTATAATCAAAAACTGATGTTGTTAAAACTAATTAACTATTCAGCACTAAATTTATCTTAGAAATTTGTGAAATGAATTTGTAATATCTATGAGGCTAATATTAATATCTCTTTGTTTTTTTTATTTTTCTATCTTCTCAAATAATCTGATAACATGTTGTGAGTGAGACTCCTCAACTTTTCATTTTTTGACAGAAAAGGACTATTAATTAGCGTGATTATTTTTTTTTCCATTAGGCTTTTCTTTATGAAAGAGACATAAATTACTTGTCTTATCTTTTTCAAAGGTCCTTACTCCAGCTCGACGAGTATCCAAAGAAGACTGGAATGAGTGGTTACGCCAGTTGAACATTGAGCTCCTTAAGGAGTCCCCAGTGCCATCACTACGTTCATGCTGGGCTCTGGCTCAGGTTCATAACCAGCTTGCAAGGTAATAATTCTCTAACTATTCATAATTATGAAGGCTTTGTGTCTCATCAATTATACCTTATGAAAAGAAAATATTATGTTGTATTTTTCTGTCAAGTAGTAGGTGAAATGAAAAACAATTGTAATAAGTACTGGAGTTGAAAATTAAACTTTATCAGCAAACTAAATTATTACTATCTTAGCATTTTTTTCTTTCAAAATTTTGTAAAGCAAAATATTTGACCTCTTCATTTTTCAAATCTGGAAAGTCTGTAATATCTAAACACTCATTGTCAAACTTAGAATTTGAAACCTTAAACTTTTAAATTAGTAACTCATTTCCAATTCTAATTGCCTTTTCTCATTAATTAGCCCATCTAAAAGAGAATTTGTAACTTTCTGGTTCAAGCAGTATTTCTTGAGTATGTTGGTTTGATTTTCAATTATAATTTTTATTTTCAACAGCCATTTAGATTCTTCATAGATTGTATGCTCCAGTCTGTCGGAAAATTTGTAAAAATCTGTAGTGCTCGTGATAGTGCAATGCTATTAAACTGAAATTTTAGAAATTAGTTTGACTTGTGTATTTATTGTTTGTAAAAATTGATTCAGTCAGTTAAGTGTCATACATGTGATATATGCTTGGGTGATCATGTTTCTTTTGATTCACAACTGATTAGGCAGAAAATTTTCTGTAGTAGACGGATTGCCAACTAATCCTATAGGACCTAGTTTGTCCTGCTATTTAATCAATAGTCTAAATTGATAAAAAGTTAATTTAGCTGCATAAAAAAATCCTTACTAGAAATCTTTTGACTATCTTTATCATAATTTCACTTTTGAGATTTTTTCTGTTCTATTTTTAGAGATTTACTCAACCCTGCCTTTGTGTCCTGCTGGACCAACCTCAGTGAGAGTCAACAGGATGAACTAGTGCAATGTCTTGAGAATGCTTTGAATTCTCAGGAAATTCCTGAAGTGACCCAAACTCTTCTCAATTTGGCTGAATTTGTGGAACACTGTGACAAGGTAATATGTTGTTCATGCAGAGTTAAACAAAAAAACTTGTACTACATTAGGTTAAATTTTTAACATATTGAGAAAACTCTAAAAATATTTGCTTTCTTAGTTATATTTTCATTTGTTTTCTTTACTTTCAGAATTTATCAAAAATTTATCTAAATTCTGGTTTTGTAAATATTAGATCAAAACAAAATTTTGTAGCATTTTTAAAGTGAATTTCAAAGAATATTTAGATATTTGTATGTAGATTTATTTATGTGCCATTTTGTTCCACTACTTTAACTACCTTTGAGGCAGCTTCATGATTCCATCCTCAGAACTTGACCTCTTTCCAATGAAATGGTCTAAGTTGTTTTTACAGGGTTCCTGAGAATTGAAGTTCTTCTCATTAAGAGAATTTTGTAGGATTGGAGATAAGTGGTAATCTGAAGGTGCAAAATCAGATGAGTATGGCAGGTGTAGTAGAACATCCCAACCTAGCTTTACTATTTTCTGCTGGATCTGCTAAGAGAAATCAGCTCTGGCATTGTGCTGATGGAAGATGATACTCTTCCGATTGGCCAATTCCAGATATTTTCATTGATTTCTGCCTTTTTAATTGGTCCAATTGGGAAAAGTATTTGTCTGAATTCACCATCTGATTTTGTAGAAGACACTCATGATACACAGCATTACTTTCAGGCACAGTTTGGCTTTTTTGTTTTCCCCAGGACCTTTTCAACTCTGCATTTTTGTAAATAATCCATTTTTCATTGCCTATGTGTCATTTGTTTCATTTAAGGAGAGCATTACAGATATAACTGCAGTCCTTAATTCTTTTTTTTTTTTCCTGCTAAATCATGATGCATCCAAATGTTGCGATTCACATATCGAAGGTGTTTTCAAATGCCTTACAGTGATTATATGAGCTATGTGGAGTATTTCTGTGATGTCTGGTGTCATGTGAGCTGGTTATTTTTAATGAATGCTTTCTTTTGTTAATGACTGACTACAGACCTACTGGAATGTACTTGATTTTACAAATCAAAATTTCCATTTCTGAACTTAATGAACCACTTACAAACAATACTCCTTTCTATAAGTGACACACATCCTTTTTGCTGTTTGTACAGTTTTTTTGCTTTCTTGGAATAAAAGAACATTAAATGAAAAAAAAACATTCAAAATTCACTATCCTCACATAGAATGATGCATTGAAATGTTATCTTTCAAAATCGGTATATGTGTTGTAAATTTTAGTCAGATGTGAAAAAAGATCACCTGTTCAACAATGTTATAAACTTTTGTTCCAACTTAATAGAGTAAATGATATTTAATATATAAATGTTCATTTTTTTTTTTTTTTTCAAGTAGTCTACTATTCATTTTCCTATAAAAAGCTTGTTAGTTTAGATATTTACAAAGCTTATTTTAATCTGGCACAAGACTAAATGAAAAATAAGAGTAGATTTTGATATGTCCATCTTCCACGAGATGGGAGCACCTACCTTGAAAATTAGCTATTGAAATCTTGGCTTTCATCTAAGCTCATACATAGACCACTGCCACCAATGGGCAGATCTGTATTTTTTGTGGCACAAACTAATTATAATTGACTGAAAGTTTCATACTAATATATTGCTTTTCTTTTTATCTGATATATGTAAAAATATTTCTTGCAAATTCTGTAGATAATAGGTTCAGCAATAGAATTGTTTAACCTTTTTTTCACATTTTCAGCCTATTGGTTGTATAATAGCTTAGAAATTTTGTCATTTTAAAATTTTTTCTTAACTGTAAAATAATTTTAATTCATATTTTCTTGTTTAAATCTTAGGGACCCTTGCCACTTGAACTCAGAATTCTTTCTCAGAGAGCTATGCGATGTCGGGCTTATGCAAAGGCTTTGCATTATAAAGAGGATGAATTCCACCGTGCCCAGACAAGAGAGACTCTAGAGGCACTGATCAGGTACACTTCTTTTTTGAAAGTAAAACATATTTATCCAGTTAGATATGTTTATTAACTTGCTCTATATAATAAGTAAATATGTAAATTTTATGAAATGTTCATAAATATTCTTTTGCTTTTCTACCATTTCATAGAATTCTTGGGAAATTTTGTTAATTCAATTTTTTCCTTTTGCAAAGTGTAATTTGTTTTTCTTGCTAAAATCTTAAATTTTGCCAGCTTACTAAATTAATTCAGTGTTTTTAAAAAAATAATTACACCAACAGTAATAATTACTTTTGACAATTACTTTAAATTCTAGGATACTTATATTAATAATATGCAAAATTCTTTATTTCTTCCTTTAATACAAACACAGTTTGACTATTTTATTAAGAACTCTTTTTAGATGATAGATTTTGGCACTTCTAAAAGTAGTACTTAATTTAATATTTACTCAATATTATTGGATAGTTTGTCAGTAGGATAATTTAGTTTTTCTTTCTTACTAACTGATGATAAACTATGCCACAACCTCCTTAACACAGATGTTATGTTAGTTGTTAATGTGTATCTTTTTTTTTTTTTTTTTTTTTTTGCAATTATTACTGAACAGTTCTACATTGAAATTATTTAGTTGGCATATTGAAGAAATATGATGGTTATTGCACTACTTATTCTGAAGAAGAAATGTTCTATTTTTAAATTATTTGCATTAATCAGTTTTCACGTGAATACCTATAAACTCAAGCATATTTTCAGTTTTTCATGGCCAATCTATTAGTGTGAATAAATGTTATTTTCCTAAGTTACTACAAAATTATTCTTACATTATATAAGCAGTAGTAAATTCAATTTATAATAAAATGTTTTCTTTTCTTTGCACGCTATTTCCCTGAAAATGTGCTTTAAAATGCTTGTTTGCACCACTGTTTTAATTTTATCAATCTGTATTTTTTTTATAATGACTTTCAATATAATAATTTTTGTACAGTGGACTATTTAAATTGGATTTTGTATAAAAAGAGTATTTCAGTTTAATTATGAAGAAACTTTCATGTAACTAATGTTCTCTTCAAACCTATCTGTTTAGTTCACTTAGAAACTAGAATTGTGTGAACACAAATCACCATGCTGAGTTCATATTCTGGTTGATTAGGTTTTATTCACTTTGCACTAATAGCCTTGGAAAAGGCATGAAAATGGTGGGTTAAATAGCAGACTGGACTCTTAACTTTGGTAAGGGAACCAGCCTAGGATAAGGACAATTTTGAATTCAAAACTAGCCTGAAGAGAGATGGCCTATCTTGTTCTGCATGTTCTCACTGCCACTATGGTTGTAGTTCTTGTGGTGCCCCTACAGTCTTAATGAGTTGTGGGAATAATGATTTTGATTGTATATTATTTTCATATTGCTAGCAGAACTTGAAAATAATACCCTCAACATTATAAAAACAAATGTACCCAAGTCAAAATTAAACTGTCTTGTATGCCTTTACTCTCTGGGGATTGAACTACTTTTTGAATATTTTCCTGATTTTGTATGGACTGCAGATGCTCTAAATATTGTAGCAGACTTCTGATTGTTATTCTCAAAGTCCCTGTTTCTTGAAGCTGTGTTATGCTTACAGAGTAGTTGTTACTTTAAATGTTGTTTCTCATGTTTTGGTATATGTCTGGGTTGCGACTTGTCAGTTTGGCCTGGTGTTATAGTCAGCAGACAATCTCTTTCTTGACACTGTGTGGGTTGGAGGAATTTAAATTCAAGTCTGGTGAATGTTGGCTTATGATATGCAGATGTCTTGAACCAATCCTTCTGTGAGAGCTGCTCCATACAATATCAGGACAATATTGAAAAGGAGTTTAACTCTTCAGAGATCTCTCTCTTGAACCAAGCCTTCCAAGAAAATGTGAACAAGAACTGTGTGTATTCCATCCCATACAAAATAGGAGTTGACATGCCATTAAATCCAACATCCATCCATCCATCCCATACAGTTGTGGCAAGGAATACAAGGGAGAAATTAGCTACCTCTGAAAACAAAGGTGGAAAATAACAAGAAAGCTGTAAGACATTGAAATCAGGCATGGCTTATAATATCTGGATGGAAAAGGGTGGTGATAAGTCAAAACAATAGACAAAAACAACAGCAGTTAAGATAACTGAATGAATCAGTATTCACTGGCAACCTCCTTGATAGTGTCAAGATGAATATCATCTCGGAGCCTCTTATTAAAAAAGAAGACATTCATAAAAATTTCTCCACCTGCAAAATTACAAAATTATACCACTGGACAAATGGGATCTGATAGTACTGAAAAGTTAAATACTCTGGTTCATTCACAAATGGCACAAAAATGTATAAAACTGGTAGGTATTGACTGATATGAAATATTCTCTAAGCATGGATTGTTCACAATTTACCTCCATGGATTGAATAATGGACTGTTTAAAATTAAAATTCCAAGAAGGTTATTGAGTATGGCAACAGATACCTGAGGAAAGCTAAAGTGTAGAAGGGTTTAAAATTTTGTGATTATAACCACCAAGAGGAGAATTCTAGTTTAATGGTAAAGAAATATAAAGAAATATAAAGAAATATAATACTTCCTCACCTCAAAAATTGTGCATAGAGTATCTGTATAAATAATTTCTAATTTTTTCTTTGGATTAAATTCATTGTAATATTTATGACTGATAATCATGTATATTGATTTTTTTTTTTCTTTGGTTTCAGCATTAACAATAAACTACAGCAGCATGAAGCAGCAGCTGGTGTTCTTGAATATGCTCGCAAAAACCGTCTTGCTGATTTGGTAAAGAATTTTTTTTTTTTTTTTTTTTTTTTTTGTGAGGATAATTATTTTAATTCAGTTAATCTTTGATATTGTCTCATTTTAAATTGTAAAAATACAGGGTGCATCAGGTAATTGATAATGAATTTTAATATAAAGAAAAATATATTTTCAATAGAAAAAATTTGTATTTTTTCAAAAAAGTAGGTATCCCAAACCTCCTGAATTTACACTGTGAAAAGGGGGTCAAAATAGTTTTAATTTTCAAGTTTAACTGGTGAGATCTTGCTTATTTCCAAGATTATTATGTAAAATTATTATGTAAACAAAATTTAATTTTTTTTATACAGATACAATTCTTTTTCAGGTGTGATGATAAATTTTTTTCAACTTTTCATTAAATTATGTCACTATTTCACTTTTTTGCACTGTCAAAGCTGAAAATTTTATAGTGGTATTTTTCAAACTTGTACTCAGAGTTGTGTGTCCCTACATATATGAAAGTACTCACATTATAAGGAAAAAGGATGCTATTTGGTGGGCTTAAGATAAGGTTTGTTGAATAGGTGAAATACCAGATAAATTCAACTCTTTAATAAGTCTTGTTGAGCATTGTTTCATATTTTTAATAATCAGTTGGTTTCATATCATGTCCATCAAACTCTAAGTTCACAGGAATCATCCATTTAATGTGGAATCTTCATATCAAAACATTGAAATTTGAGTTGGTTTTTCAAAAAATGCATAATTTCACAAAATATTCTTCCCAAAAAGATTGATATTACAGAGAAAAGAATTGTGTTGTTGAATTCCTCATTAATAAAGCTTCAAGTATGTACCTCCAATAGATAATTTTTTATGGCAAGTTCAGGATGTGGTATAATCTTGGTTAAACTGCACTTCTAGTTACATAGTGTAAATAGGGGTTTTAATTGATGTACTAATTTAGCTTCATCTTTGTTGAACTATGAAGCATAAGAAGTTGCAATGCATTCACTGGTGAAATGAAACTTATATGAGCAAATCAAAATTTCCCTTTTTGTATCATTCTTTAACTATTTTGTTTTTATGAATGCAATTCTTCTTTTTTAAGCTGGTCTGATTTAATAATAATTGATTCTGTTATTATTATCTCTTATGTCAAGACTATTCACATGTTTGGCACTTGCATCGTCAATTATGTTGTTAAAATTGGTTCTGAACAAATAGCACACAAGATGGAAAATTTTCTGATGAGGATGTTAAAATTTGGTACATGTAACATTAAGTTATCTACTCTTCATAGCCTGCTAAAGATGTCTTCACAAATATTTGGTGCACTCTCTAATGCCTATGAAGTAAATTAATGAGATTTAAGGTTTGGGAAGATTGAATTTCTTACTCATAACTTATTTCCAATTAATTTTATACATAATACTCCGCACTAACAGTACTACTCTGAGTTTTATGCCAGGTGCTATCTTCAAGTACTGAAGGCCTGAAACTCCAAGTTGTACTATTGGCATGGAGTATTATGTATTTTTATTAGTATATACTTAATAGCTGTTATTTAGCATTGGGCAATGTTTTTCTTACACCAAAGGATATATATATATATATATATATATATATATATATATATATATATATATATATATATAAATAATATACATTTATTTATATATATATATATATATATATATATATATATATATGTAGTTCTATTAAAGCATAGTGAAATATAACTTAAGATAATGAGGCTACTTAATTTACTTAATGCTACTAAACTGAATTACATCAATGTATTTTCCTAACATTTGCATTAAACAGGGATTTGCCATCCAAGTTGATGAAATCTGAACTTTTTGGATCAGTAAATTCTTATTTTATTCTGATTTGGCATTGAACCATTTTCTTTTAGATTGAGGAAAGCTGGTATGAAAAACTGCATGAGTGGGAAAAAGCTTTAAAAGCTTATGAAACTCGGCAGGAAACTCATCCTGATGACAAGAATTGCATGCTTGGCAGAATGCGGTGCATGGAAGCTCTGGCAGAATGGTTAGTTACTTTCATTATGGAATTTGGTTTACTTCATTGTAAAAAAAAAAAAAAAAAAGCGAATTTAAAAGTTTTATAAGCTCTTTTATTATTTCAATCATTTAAATTTATGTAATATTTGTCTATCAAATTGTTTTGTATATTTAAGTATTGCTTAGTGAAACTTGCTTCAAATTTTTAATTACACTATCTTAAGTACAATGCAAACATCCCCCAATGCTCTTTCTGCAATCCTACTCTCTCTTTGATTTTTATTAACCATTTACCAAGGAACATTTACAGATGATTAGTCAGTATTTATACACACAATACCACTGTTTATGGCTACACTTCCAAAAACCAAGATGATTAGAACCTTGCAGCTGTTCTCTGAATGAGCTCTCACAGCTCAGTGAGGAAATAATTGGCTTGATACTTTCAGTACCTCAAAAACCAAGCAAGTATTGTTTCATTACTGCCTTTCAGACAGTTTTCTCCAGTTGCATTGAATGGTTTCATTCTCAATGAAGCCCCAAGCTTAAACATCTGTTAGATCTCATTTACTCCAGACCTAAACTAGCACTCACATACACAGTCCATTACTAAAGAAGCTGCAAAAATGGTTGGCTCATGTTGACTCACTGTATGACAGTTGACAGGAAGTATCTAACTCTTACCAGGCTTTATCTGGTAAGAGTCAGATAATCTTTACCAAGAGTTCAATTAGTCTAGAAATGGAGTATTGCTGTCATATCTGGACTGGAGAAGTTCAATCCTCACTTTCCAGCCTTCATAGAGTTCAAAATCATTTACATGGTTTTGTGTGAATGACTTATTCTCCATACAACAGACGAAATGTTTCAAGCCTGTCACTATTTTGTTGTTTCTGTAGCAAATGTAAATGTTCAGACAAGCTCCATTCCTTAGTTCTACCAGTTCAGCCCTTTAAAGTCAGAACATATACTACTCCCACAGAGTTGAATCACCCTTATTTCCTCTGTGTTCCAAATTTAAAAATGAAGTTCAACTCTAATAGCTTTTTCCCAAGGACTGTCATTTTGTGGAATAGATTCCCACATGGTTGCTTCATTGAACACGACAATTTTGACATCTTCAAGTTAAGTGTCAGTTGTTATGTATCCTCCCTATCCTCATAATCTTCTCTTCCACTCATATCTCACACCTCATTCATCATTATTATTCCAACTCTAACCCTCTATCTTGAGTGGCTCTCAATCCTTGTATTGGGTGAAATTTATTTAAAAAAACAAAACAAAAAACACTGAATAACTCTTACATTGCATAATAAAATATCACATGACTTATTGTAAATATTTTTAATCAAACTGGATATTTAAGATGAAATTCACATTTATCATATATCCTGAAAATTTTACCATCATCAGTTGGCTAATACCAATTTTTTTTATTTTGATAACATTGACTTGCATAATAAAATCTGATAGTATGTATAGAGATAATAAAATTTTGAAAAACTGTTTCTTTCCTTGTTTCTATAATGTTGACTCTTTTTGCAGGGGTTCTCTGAACCAACTTGCAAGTGATGCTTGGCGTCCAGCTAATGATGAAACCCGAACAAAGATGGCTCAACTTGCTACAGCTGCAGCTTGGGGACTTGGTCAGTTTTTATTAGTATTTTTTAAAGAGATCGTTCTTCTAGACCTCTGTGTGTGTCCAGCTAAAACAAAAAAAAACTACAGTAATTAATGACTGACTTATTCTCACCCAAGTCAGCATTTTGTAAAAAAAAAAAATTATCATGTGATTTGTATTTATGAAAATATTTTAAAACTAAAATGCATTAGAATGCATTAGAAATTCTCAGAATTAAGTAAAAACAAATGGTAATAATTCTTATTCTTGATTAGGATTACCATTTTTACTTTTTTTATTCTGCTGATATTTTTAAAACACTATACATCTATGTTTTTTTTTATTTATATAATTTTTATTTTGAATTTATTTTCACATCTATAGTAAATAAAAGCGTGACTTGAAAAAAAATGAATATTAAAACAACAAAGTAAATTTAAAAGAAGCATGATAAATACAATTATTTGACAAAAAGTTTAATATTTATTTATTCAAATATTTGTGTGTGTGTGTGGTTACAAAATAAATAGAAGACAGACCTCTCCTTTATGCACCCCCATCAACAGACTTCAAAACTTCCAAATTGTCAGTGATGTATTTCAAAATTTGTGGGCTTAGTGAAACAAGTCATATTAGTTCTCAAAGTGACTGCTTGGTGGCAGTGGCAAGCCCTTCAATTGTAAACAAATACGGAAAATATACATTAGCATGTGCGTGAAAAAGTAACTGAGAAATTTATTAGTTTGTTATTTTGATTAATATATCTATATTAAGTATATATTTATTTATGCCATATATACATGTTTATAGTATTTACATTTTGATCATCACTAGTGGTAGTTATTGTGTGGTTTTATAACTCAAAAATAATGCCTTCTCATCTACCCTCCCCTCCTTTAGTCCGTTGATGAGTGGTTTGTCTGTATATGCAATCTCAGTATCACCCTAAAGGGCAGTTTGGGTGTGGTATTTTCCTAAATTTTGTTATTTTGTAACCTAGCAAAAATACAATGAAGTTTATTTTTTAAAGATTGGATAAAAAAATCATTTTCCATGAGATGGCTGAAAAATATAAATAGTCAATAATAAACTATTATTCAGAGATCTTCTGAGTAATGCCAGGTATCTCTGTTAGTATATCATTAATAGGAAGTTATATTTTTTTAATTATTTTTTATTACTATTTGAATGTAAACAGAATTGAGCAAATTTATATATATATATATATATATATTTACACACACACATATATATATATATATATATATATATATATATATATATATATATATATATATATATATACAGGAGGGAGTGTAGAAGAAATGCCTCCCACATAATGGTAAGACATTAGTGGCAATAGTGTCTTCATCTTGCTCATGTTTTACCATTATGTGGGAAATATCTGGCAGACCCTGTATATATAAATGTGGACACTGGCTGACACCAAGCCACAGCTGTTTGAGGTTTCCTATAGCTCCACTAAACTTAAATAAAGTTAATTCAGGCTTGCTATGATAAAAATTTTCTAGCCCAAGTAAAAATAATCACAAAAATGACAAAAGTCATTTTGTCACAACTTTTTTTCTCTGAAAAAAATGGATTTTCATACTTTTATAGGGGTAAAATATTGAAAAAAGTCTTTTGTCTACATCTGAACAAATATCAAGGAAACTTTTGATCTGAACCCCATAAACTAGGCCTTTTCTGAAAGCAAAGGATATATTCTTTCATTTAAAAGTAAAATTAGCTGGTGTAAATGACTCAAAAATCTTTTTCAGGAGGTAAAATGTGAAAAAATAGTGAAAATTTTGCATTTTTTCTAGTTCTAAACAAAAACTTTCCACATTAATGGGAAATTAACCATTTTTTTCGAAAATCAGAAAGCCTAAATCATAATCAAACTATTTCAGGCATAAAATTGAAAATTTTGAAGGAAATCAACATTCCTAGGGGGTCAAAATGTGACAAAGTCCATTGGTAATTTTCAATTATATGACTGCCAGGGGTTAAAAAAATTGACACCCGGCCACTTTTAGTAAAAGGTGAAACATTTATCTGCAATTCCTGACTACCAGAAACCAAGTTTTTTTTTTTTTTTTTTTCTTCTTCCAAAAAAATAGCAGCGATAAGGAAAATTAAGCCAAATTGACTTTGACATGTCTAAGTCGAAGGTAAGCCAGCTAGCAATAAATGTTTAGAACAAGCTGTTGCCGTCAGCTTGTAATCTAACATTTTTGCCCCAGTTCCTCAACCTCAGATGTCTTACTCTCAGGGTTGAGGTGTCTACTCGGTTCTATGCGAACTTAAGGGAGTGGCTGTAGGTCCCCTGAGCATCCGTAGATTATTCGACCGGTCCACTGGTTTAATCCTGCTTTCTGTCCACATTGTGTTTGGTTTGATCCAGAAAGCAGAAGTTATTTTCATCCATTCACGGTCGACTGAAGATGTAGACACGGCTAGAAATTTAGAATGCAGCAAAAAAAATTAATATCTGCAGAAAGCCGGACAAACAACTATTCAATGATTGAATTGTTAATGTCTTTTATATAGCAGAAAAGAATAGTATAGAAAAGAAATGGGTTACAGAAAAGAAAAGTAATTGACGTAAAAACGCATACACTGGATTCTGGACAGAGAGAGTGTTGTGTTATGATTAACTTGTTGTTAAATCGTCTCAGAATGATATACGACTCTTGTGATGGGAGAATAAGATTTCTGTGTGCGGCTTAAAGTTTATAGTGGCGTTCCTTCTTAGCAGTAGTAACAGTAGTAGTAATTTTCGTGGTAGCAGAAGCAGCGGTACTTATATCAACAATACGTGTTAGCGAACACTTCGTTCCGATCTCTGACATCACTTTCTCTCCTACTTGAGTCTCTAACTCAACTCTCCACTGTCTCTAGCCCAACTCTTGTCCAGGCTAATTCTCTTCTGTCTCACTCTTCTGTCTACCCTTTTCCGTCTGCCTCTTCCATCTCAACGCTTGCTTGTCTGTGTTTTCCAGCATAACTACACGTATATATAGATATATCAGGCTGGTTACAACTGATCTTTGGCCCTGCTACCTTGCACGTGATTATCTGTCACCCATCTGTCATTTACTAGTAAATGACACACGAGCTTCCATATCAACAAAATATGAGAAAACCCAATCCAACATGCTTCTTACTAAGGTCCACTTAAACATACGTCTCTTCCAGCATGCAAAGGTAGAGTCCTTAGTTCTTCTTAGGGCTCATTATGCCCATTTACATTTTCATTGTCCTTAAAATACATATGTACATGCAACTTCCAGTTAAAGTTTACTGTTTTGGTGTTCTCGTACAATAGAACCTTTTCACTAGTTCAAGTGTTCTTTCTCTTTTTTTTTTTTTTTTTTTTCTGTTGAAGTTTGCAATGCTCTTTACCAATTATTTCAGTCTCATTACTAAAAATAAAAAAAATTCGATTTACTTCATACATCTTAGAGTGATACCTCAAGCACCGCCCCATACCACCACCAGCGCCGTGTATGTGTGTGGTCGTCCACACAGTTCACCAGCACTGATGATAAATGTACAGTTAGTCCCAGACCGTCACTCATTCACCACAACCACTGTACTAGTTTCACTTAATCCTTGGGCTCAGGTTGCACCACTCCCCTCGATCACCGTTTTAGTGGTAATTCCTCATTAACACTATGTGCTTTTTCAGCCCGCAATTTACTCTGCAATTGAGCTAACGGAATTTCATCCTCTTCTTCCCATTCACTCAGTTCTTCTTCTTCCCTAAAGTTAGGCTCAATCCCTGCTTCCTCAGAATGTCCTGCTGGGGTCCAATTTACCTCCCTCAGCCTTCGAAGGGTAGTTGGGCTAATTTCAATCTCTTCGCTCCCTTCACTTTCACTCTGTCTCTAACCCTTCGGGTTCTACCAACGTAGATTTCCTCAGCCTTTTCTGTTGAGTTTTTGTTTTGGCTCCTTTCCATTCTCCTATTTCAACTAGCTTTATATCATTCGCATGCACTCTCTTTACCTGTCCGGTCAATTGGTCCCAGATCACAAAAGAAACCGGCCCCGTCTGCTCCACGATCCTATAGTATAGACTCCATCTCTGGTCCAATTTACCTTCTCTTGGGTGTATTTTATAATACACTGGATCACCTATCTGGAGGGAATCTTCTTCTCTATTTTTATTTCCCCTATCATTTCACCTTTTCTGGGCTCTTTGAATCCTCCTCCTCACCTGCGTAAAAATTTTATGCTGTTGTTCTAAAACTATTTGATGATGATCCTCTCCTAAATACTTCTTCCTAGGTCATAACAGATTGTCTATAGGTAAGACTACATCCCTGCCATATATCAAGTAATAAGGGGGAAATTTTGTCGTCTCGTTCATCGAGAATCTCACAGCTGCTAACGCTTGGGTTACAAATAAATCCCAATTTTCCCTATTATCCTCTGTTAGTTTAGCTAACACATCAGCGAGGGTCTTATGAAATCACTCTACCTTAGCGTTACTTTGGGGGTGATATGGAGAGGTGGTTATGTGCTGTATGTTTAATTCTCCTAACGTCTCTCTCATAATCTGATTCACATTCTCCAATCCATTATCGGTAACCAACTGTTCGGGGGCTCCATACTTAGGGAATATTATTTCATTCAGTATTATATCTGACACTGTTTGTGCCTTCTTATCCGGTATGCCTATTACCTCCCGATTACTGTTCAGCAACCCCCTCAATTTAATCCTATAACGCTCAGGAGCAGTTATATCTTCATCCCTTATTTCCTCGCTGCCTCTCTTATTCCCAGGCCTATTCTCATTCCACACTCTCACCTGTTTGACTTCTTTCACTGGGCACACCTGTGCCAGCTCCTCTCCCTGCTTTATTTTAATAGTTTTATTGGCAGTATTGGTTAACAGTAAGGGTATGGTCCCCGACTTCTTCACCAACGAATCACACACGGTTATTTCCCCTTCACTATTGGGTCATTCCATGTCAATTCACCAGGGAATTACACCCACCCACACTGAATTACTTGA